AATTTTTTGTTTAACCTGAATAATTAAAGCTTGACCTCTATGTGAATGTCTTCAGAACTCTGGCTAAGTACAGTTGAACCAGACATGCCACCTACTGGGAAGAGCATCAAGTATGGGTAGAAAATAGAGCTGCAATAAAAAGTAATGAGCAGGCCGGGAGTGGTGGCTCACACCTGTAATCCCAGCACTTAGGGAAGCCAAGGCAGGTGGTTCACGAGGTCAGGAGATCGAGACCATTCTGGCTAACACAGTGAAACCCCGTCTCTACTAAAAATACAAAAAAAAAAAAAAAGCATTAGCCGGTCGCGGTGGCGGGCACCTGTAGTCCCAGCTACTCGGGAGGCTGTGGCAGGAGAATGGCATCAACCTGGGAGCCGGAGCTTGCAGTGAGCCGAGATCGCACCACCGCACTCCAGCCTGGGCAATAGAGTGGGACTCCGTCTCAAAAAAAAAAAAAAAAAAAAAAAAAAAAGACGTAATGAGAAGTAGATGGTGGTGATGGCTGCACAACAATGAGACTGTACTTAATGCCGCTGAATTGTATGCTTAAAGAGTAACTTTTATGTGTATTTTACCACAATTTCTATAAAAGTAATGAGCAGTATTAAAAAGTGTTAGAGAATAGTAGAAATTAATATTAGTAATTAATACCATTATATTCATAGTATATCATATTTTCATTATAATGCTAATAAATACTGATACAATGCTTACTATATGCCAATACTATTCTAATCATAGAATTATAGACTTTATCACTATTTCTCCCAGACTATTCATAAAAGAAAAGCTTTTTAAACATTTTTACTTGTCGTATCTGTAAACAAGGTTGCCACATTCCAGACTTTGAGAAAGCCTTTATAATCAGCAGGTAGGAACTTCAATACAAGGTGGATATAACTAAAATGGTAAAGCCATTACCAAATTTCCTGGCAATAAAAAGCAGGTGGGGTGTGATATTAACTGCACATCATTCCTAAGACATTGAGAAGCTTCTTCTAAGTGTAAAACATGAAAGTACGGACGAATTGGAGGTAGTTTAGCTGTGGACCAGTGGTAAAAATAAAACCATCGCATAAGAACTTTAAACTCTTGTCATTGTCCAAACATCCTCAATGATCGTCTCATCTCTCCATTAGTCAATTTCTCGTATACAACATACTTTTACCCATCTTCTCCCCACTCCAGTGTCATTCTCCTATCACCCTAAGCAAGTCAGAATCCTGTTCTTCATAGGCGTCTTCAATAGCATTTCAAAAGGTGACTCACTTTTAATCTGGTCACTACCATCTATAATTCACAATTTGGAGATTAGGGATATATATTGTATCTGTTTTTGTCTCTTTCCCCACCCTCAGGTCATCAGTTCTACCCAGGTAACTCTTATTTTGACCTTGCACATACACTGGATTTATGGGCATGGTACAGAAGATGGAGGGAGGTGGATAAGTCATTATTAGGCTGTATAGAGAGAGTAGGGAAAATGAGTAGGTATGTCAGAGAAAGCTTAACCGGGTCCTGAATTTGAGCATAAAGCTCTTATTCATCCTGGTTTTTACTGATCCTTATCCCAGTCCTCTCTTTGGAATTCTGCACAGGTTGTCTTCATACACATCTAATATCAAATCATCCAGGTTAAATCATCTCCAAAAGTTTTCACAGTCTGATTCCATCTCATTAAGGCTACTCATCTAATTGTCTTTTTCTTTACTACTCAGAGTGTAATCTGTTAGGCTTAATAGGCTCATAGTCTCTATTTACTTCTTATGTTTGTCTTCTCTATGCAACTAGATGATGTATTTGAATAAGCCGGAGAAGTGTCTTTAATTTCCTTTATATACTCTCCCCTACAATGCCTGTCATAGTGGTTTGTTGTGTAGATAGAATGAGCTTAATACTTTTTTAAAAATTGAAATGATGGCACATGTAGAGAGATTAATATCAAGTTTTCTTTACTTATACCAAATACAAAATACATGTATATGTTTTGGTGGGGACAGTTCATACAAGTCAGAGATAATAAAATCTTAAAGCTCTGTAGTCTCTCCCAACAATTTAAGTACTTGGATATGAAAAACCTTGTTATCTGGGCATTGACCGTGTAAATATCATTCCACGCATAATCATTTTGTCTTTGTCCACAGCTTTCCCTATCTCTAGGCTATGAGAATATATGAACTTGGGAGAATTTTCCATAAAATACTTCTCCATTAGGAAAAAAAAATAAGAAAAATGCTAACATGGAACTATCAGATATTTTTAACTATGTGTTAGGCCCACTGCATTAGGGCATGTACCAGTATTTTGTAAAACCAAAATTCACTGCCTAGTGAATTGTTCCTTCCTGGTCTGTCCAGAGAAGTAAATGGTGAAATATTCATGGCTCTTGGGAACATCCAAGCTATTTGGTAAGAGCTTTTCCCTAGGTTTGCCAAAATGGCCCTGAACTCAAAATATGATGTTTATTCAAAATGATTATAAAAATGGCATGAACTTTGTTATTTATTTTAATAACTTGAAAGAATTCTGGAGAAATAATTTCATGTTTCTTCTAGTCCTTTCATATTTTTGATACATTCACAGCTATTCTTTCCCAACTTGCAATTAGAATGACTAATAATGTTTAGAATTTTATCTGCTGGTTTCTCTTAAGTCATGATTCTACCATGAGTCATTTAACTTCTTTCCATAGCACCCAGTTATAACAAACAGTGGATTATGTCACTGAAGGTGTACTATGTAGCCAAAGTTGTAATTTCATCTAAGTGACTTTGGAGAGAGAAATAAAAAGTGGAAATTCTTTTTCATTTCAAAATAAGAGGGGTTTTAATATTTCTACACAGCATCAGATAATAGCCCCAAGCAAAGATATTATTGATCCCCAAACAAGTATTTTCCAGATCAATTAATATTCATGTCTATCTGTCTGAGCAATGGATTAGAAACTTTATAATTTTCATTTTATGGAAGAGAAACCAGACTAAAAGGCTAGGGGTATGATCATTTGGTTTCTGGTTTCAGTTCTGACACTAACAAGCAATATCCTTGGGTAACTTGCTTAATCTTTGGGACCTTATTTTTCTCAAGTAGAGGATAACGAAGCTGGATCTCATGCTCCATTCTCATCTCTTCCCTACCCCCATTATTTCATATGATTTTCTTGTCCCTATTATACCTTAGTAAATTCTAGATAAAGAGAGATCCTCCCCAATTTCACAGTAGAGAAGCCCAGGACTAGCTGTATAATTTGTGGGGCTCATTGCAAAATGGAAATGTTGAATTCCTTCTTAAAAAATAAAGAATTTCAAGAGGGTAACTGCAAAGCATTAATTAAGCATGTGGTCCTTCTGAGCATGAAACCTTTGCAACCGAACAGATCACACACATCCATGAGGCTGGCCCTGTAGAAAACAAAGAAATGTTTCCCCTACCTTCCAACATTCTGTTTTGCTCTTAACAGAATGGAAATCTTAGAAATGTTGATTGGACAATGACATGAATCATGAAAAGAAAGAATAGTGGGAATACAAGTATTAGAAAGCCAATGTTTTGTGGATGTTTGAAACTCTCATAGGGCTTACCCCACTGGTACGTGCAACAGGCAACTGGTAGTTTCTAAAGATGCTCCCAGTGAATTACGCCTCCTGGTATGTTTTCCTTATGCAGTTCCCTTCTATGCTGAATCTAGACTGGCCTGTAATTCATGTTCACAACAAATAGAATGCAGCAAAAGTGAAGCCCTGTGTCCCAGAGATTCTGGTACGTTGTCTCTTTGTTCTCACTGGTTTTACAGAACTTATTTATTTCTGCCTTCATTTCATTATTTACCCAGAAGTCATTCAGGAGCAGGTTGTTCAATTTCCATGTAGTTGTGTGGTTTTGAGTGAGTTTCTTAATCCTGAGTTCTAATTTGATTGCACTGTGGTCTGAGAGATTGTTATGAATTCCACTGATAAAACTGTATATGTTTATGGTATACATAACATTTTGATATACGTACACATTATGGGTTGACTAAATCAAGCTAAGTAACATATCCATAATCTCACATAAATTTTTTTTGGTTGCTCTTTTAACACTAAGTTTTGGGGCGTTTTAGTTCAGACAGCCTCATCAATGACTGTCTATCTCATGTGACTTTAAGGATGTCTAAAGGTTCCCCAGTTGTGCAATATCTACAGGATCACTGAATGCCAAGTCCCCAGGGAAAGGAATGATGAAAGGGGAAGTTGGAGGAAGTTGAGGCCATAGAGAGGAGGGCCCTGAAAGAAAATGTTAACTGCTTGCCAGTTTGACCAGAGGTCTGTTCCAGCAGGAACAACTGCGTTTAGACCAGCAGTTCCCATGCTCTGTTTTACAGGTCTGAGCTTTCCCGTAAGTGAACTTATGTTTTGAAACTGTGTGCCATGTAGTACCAGCTAGAATAAAGCCAACATTACACATTCAGTTCTACCATGGTTATTTTAGTTCTGCTCCATATATAATGACCACCAACCTTGAATATCAATGTGTGCAGTCCCTAGGGAGAACAGGACAGATTCACAATTTCAATGGGGCTACTGGAAACATGCTTGGCTATTTCCTTCCTCATGGAAAGTCAGAAAAAAGCATTGTTATGTAGGAAAGACAGGATATTTTAAGTACCTATTTCATTTGATAATATTGTTTTTCTCTTCACTGTCAAGAAAAACCATTAAAAAATCATGTCTTTGTTTCCTTTGCTGTTAAATCATAGTTAAAGAAAAATGTAGAAATGAAAGTTATCCAGGTCTATCAACTATTATTTAAAGTAATATCTGTTTTATTAATATGTATAGGATTTAAAAGAGTTATAATGAAGCATTTTAACCACATAAATATTACTTCATAGCATTTTTAATAACTAAGAAAGATAAGCCCTTTTCTTGTTGGTTCTTGATATTTTCCTATCTGTATTCAAATTAATGCAGAACTAATAGCCATTATCTTACTTACTGGTAGCAAGGAGACACATTATAAAAGCTTCTTGTATAAAATTTTATTCACTAATAGAAAAAAAGAGAAATAGTGGAAAACTGTTAACATTTAACACAGTGTAAATACATTGCCCATTCTAAATGGTTTGAGGTCTTAAAGACCCTCTTCCAGGGGTTTTTGAATATTCAGTTCTAGTAAACATCACAGCCAAAGAGTTCCAGGCGAAGTGCAATACTTTGATTCCATGTTTTAGGAATGACACGGATAAACCTGGAAATAATTGGGGGGTTGAAAAAGTTCTTCACATGTCCTTTGGTATTAGTATTTCCTTCAAAAATCTGAAAGCAAAATAAGAGAAAATCTTTAATGACAGCATAAATGGAAACAAAAATCTTACAGATAAGTTTGGTTTTTTTTAGACAAGGTCTTATTCTGTTGCCCAGGCTTGAGTCCAGTGGCACAATCATGGCTCACACAATCATGGCTCACTGCAGCCTTGAACTCCTGGGCTCAAGTAATCCTCTCTCCTCAGCCTTCCAAAGTGTTGGCATTGCAGGCATGAGCCATCATGCCCAACCCAGATAATTTTTTATCCTATTAGCTCAAAATGAGCATATCAAAGAACACATAGAATACTATCACAGAGATGATCCTCCATCAGTTATAAAATCACATGCCACATAGATTTCATCTCACCAGTGATCTCAGTTAAATTGGGGAAAAATCAACAAGTCTTACATGGTGCTGTGGAGCAGCTGGAAAACCATTTCTGCCTTCAGCCCCTTTGTATTAGCTGTATGACTGAACAAGTTACTTGTTCTCTGATTCTTCATTTCCTCATCGGCAGAGTAAGGATAATAAAATTTCACCTCACAGAAGTCATTGCAAAGATTTAAAAATGTATGTAAAAGTAAGTGCATAGTAAGTGCCAGGAAGTGGCCACCAATAAATGGTTAACTATTGCCAACATTTAAAATTTGACTGGGCATTTTAATTTATTTATCCTTGTTGGCATGTACCTTATATCCTCAACTAAATTGTATAATCTGCCCCCCTCCATCATCAGCAAGTTCCCCAAGGTTTATACACACCGGAAATGAAATCACTATTTTTTTTATGACAATGATATTTATCCTCCTATGGGGGCAACCTGGTGTAGTGAGAAATAAAACAAACCAAAACAGACAACCAGGAGTTTGTCTGAGAACAGGCACCTGAAGAACTAAGATTCAGAAGACTTAAAGAGGTGGTACATGTCAGTGCATATTTGTCAAATGCAAAATACTGTTATTCTCATCATAGCACAGTCTTCAGATTGCTTTCTCTTTGCCCAGATGCCACTCTACCTTGTCCACCATGGAGGATTTCAGCCTGTACGGTTTCCATTCCACTCCCTGGTCACTGTAGTGGATGGTATAGCTCTTTACATACATTTCAGAGGACAGAGACTTGCAGCCCTGTGTTGTAATTGCTGTTATCTTCTTGATCTTGAGTAGATCAATTTCTAGCCACTGCTTGTTGTTGTTTGCCTATGAAAATGACAAAAACACATACATAAGGAAGATGTTAAAACCTTTGCTTTTTTTTTTTTAGACCAAGATATGCAAAAAAAGCACAGAGCTCAAAAGGATTTTGTTCTATCTTATCCCTTAGGATTCACTGTCTCCTAGAAGCTTTCCCTCTTTCTTCTTTGTTGCCACAATATGTGTATAAATTTCTATTGAAGTATTTCACACATTGTACTATAACTGTTTCCTTCTTAGTATTCCTTACTGCTTGAGGGTAGAGGCTTATTTAATTTTGTTTCCTGTTACTCACCACAATGTTAAGACACCCAGTTGGTGTTCAATAAATAGTTGTTGAATAAATGAATGAATACATGAATTTTATTTGGAAAAATTATTAAATTGCTAAGTTATCTGTAAATATTATTTTCTTAAGCAAATTTATTTAAATACTCTGGTAATATTGGTACAGGGTTATCTGGGAAATAATTGGATAGCATCCTCTCTCTATTTCACCTGTTTTACAAAACCCACCTTCTCTTTCCCCCTGTTAATGTCAAATAGCAGAAACAGTTCAATTTCTTCTGATATTTCAAATAAATGTAATATTTGAGAGACCTGATAAAACAATAAGTAGAGCTTGATGCACAGTACAGTTATTGTCCTGTCTCCGGCCTAACAAAATGCCTAATCACATGGTTGGTGATATGCGTTTGGAGAAAGATCAGAAGGTCTAAACTGAGTTTTAGAGTAATCTGAGATAAATTTTTACCTTTGGGAGATTTGTCATCTACCGTAGCCTCATTCAATTATAAAGGAAATAATATTGATATGTTTCTTCAACATCACCCACACATACTTAGGTGTATGTGTATATATATGTGTATGTGTATATACAAAAATTCACATGCTATATGTATTTTAAAAGCAAATTAACTGAATTAGAATGATTATATGAGAAAACTTTTAAGTCTATAACATCCTCTAGCAACATCTGGGTGATATTTTAGTGTGTCTTCCAATCAAGGTTGTACCAGTGATACAGAGTATAACCAGCTAGACGTTTTCACAGGCATAAAAGAGGTAGAGACATTTTAGTTGTGGAGAGAACAGCATCTGTGTGCATCCCTGCGTATGTCCAGCTTTGATTTTCAACCTCTCTAAAGAGACCATGTAAAGACATTTCATGTGAGTGGAAGGGGGTTAAGTAAAACACGTATTTCTGATCCCGAATTCTAACTTTGAAATAACAGCATTAAAAATTAGCATTTTATCTTTGAGGCCTTTGTTATATTACAAAGACTAAGAGCAAATTATAGAGAGTGCAAATGTTTTTAAAAGACTGTAAAATGAAGTATGGGGTGACAAGGTTATACCATGAACAAGTCTAAAGAGTCATCTGAAAAAGAATTGGATAACATCTCTTTAATTATTATTTATATTGCTATGTAAATTATATAAATATAATGTAATATAACACTATTTTTATTATTTTAACTTCTCTGGGTATCAGCTTTGCCCTCTACAAAATTGCAAAATGAGGTATTTGGGCTGCTACAAATGGTGGAAGGCGCATGGCCTGTTTACTAGGAGAATGGGATTCTAGTCCTGATTCTGCTACCAAACTAAGCTAAAATTATTTAATCTCCTGTGTATTTAGACTTAAAAGGAAAAATCTAGACCAGATGCTTTGCTCCTTGCTACTGTAACATTCTGTGATTCCGTGATTCCAGAATGAGTTTCAAGACACAGATATCAGTTCCCAAGACTGTGTGGAATCCAATCTTTTCTATTTACCCCACTAGCACCACAATTCTTTTTTCCTTTCTGGTGGCCTAATTTAAGGATAGGTCCTGGAATTCTATAGAAAGTCAGGAAATTGGAGTGTAGGTATCTTAAGGGAGGGAGATATGAGGGTAGAAAGTAGGGAATCTGGATTTAGTTGGCTGAAGGGATCATCAAGTTATCCATGCCATTCTGATATCTCAGGTCATTTAAAGAATTAATAAAAATGAGTCAACTACTAGGAGTTACCCCCAAATTAAATCACCTGAATTACTCAGTGGGCTAATATCAGGGGTACTATAACTCTGGAAGGTGTTTGTTTAACTTAGATCACTGATTTTATAACTCTGGTTTTGCAACATTTTACTATGCTTCTAGTTGTCTCAAGAAATATCACAAAGCTCTTAAAATAAGGAAGGTGGGGAAGAGAATAAAAAAGTTTAAATGACATTTCATTTAAGATAATGAAAACATATTGCTAAATTGTAAAGAAAAAATAAGAGATGATGTTGCAAATATAAATCATTTGTTTATCACTAATGTAAGCTGTCTAAATAAGGAGTTGTCAAACTATGATCCATGGGTCAAATTTGGCCCACTGCCTGTTTTTTGTAAACAAAGTTTTATTAGAACACAGCCAGCTCATTAATTTACATGTTGTTTATGGCTACTTTCCTGCTACAATGGCAGAGTTGAGTAGTTAAGGCAGAGAATGTATGGTCCACAAAGACTAAAATATTTACTATCTATCCCTTTGCAGCAAAATAAATTTGCTTATTATTGGTTTAAGTCAAGACTAGACCAAAACCCACAGAGATGATAAATGACTTCTCTCTGAGCCAGAGTTATAGTCGAAGCTATCAAGTCCACAGACATCCTAGACTCTTGGACCTAGGATTTTAATCTGCAGAAACAGATTAAAATACTCCTGCTTCCAAGATCCTCATGTTCGTGGTAGTGAGGGCCTTTGCATTCTTCTGGAGCACTAAAAGAACACCATGCATACAGTACATTTCACCTTGGCTTGCCAGGCATTCACACGTCCCTGGGCATTCAAACGGGCACGGAAGGGTTCCCAGTAATCTCCCCACCAAGATTTTTTAAACGAAGAAGCTGTGATTTGCTTGTTTCCTATCTTTCCATTTTCCATACCCAGTGGTGTGGAACATCCTATCAAAAGAAAAGTAATGTGATTAATTATACACCAATATTCCCTGCATGGCATTTTGCACTGCAGAGGAGATAACAAATAATATTACTACCAATGAATGACAAAAACAATAATCACAAAAATGAAGATTCATTGAATCCAAGTGCCAAATACTGTTCTCAGGATGTACATGTATTATTTAATGCTCATAAATATCTCCATTTTAGTACAGCAAAACACAGTAATTTGTCTAAGGTAACACAGCCAGAAGAATCAGAAACTGAATTGAGCTCAACCTGATACCAAATACCATGTTCTAAACATTTAAACTCATTTCCTCCTTCTGAGAGTCATGGAAACTTTGGTCTTTGCTTTGAGGTGACAATATTCCTAAACTATCTATATATAAAAACACTCTGTTTCTTCTAACAAAAGCTACAAAGAAGATACAATGGACCCTCAGTCACTATTTAATATTTTCTGTTTCAACCCTTAGAGGGTAATTCAAGTTATGTACTCTTTGGAATTTTTCCAAGGTGTAATTTGAATATCATAGGCAGCAAGGCAGACCTGTGACTGTAAGAAACACAGCTAGTGAGTGAACCTGGCTGACTGCCCATCATCTCTGTGATACCTTGTTCTTGTTGGTAAATCATGCAGAAATTTTCTTGAAGTGATGCCTTACTTACTCCATGGGGGGGGAAAAAAAAAAAGGAGCCCTAAAAATAATACCAGCTGCTAATAATTACCTAAGTATCAAGAAAATGAATAAGAAGAAAATAATGCTTCTTGTATTAAAAATAGATATTTTAAATAAATAAGCAGAGTTGAATGTCACATTTTAGGGTAGTTTATTAGGATCTGAACAAGTCTATTTATACCATATGGAAAGAAAAAAAACACAATGACTTATGGAACTGTTTCAAGGGGTGGTCCTGCTGATACAAGATTTGTGTTTTATTTGGGAGATGTTATAGACCACTGCTATCTGGACATTGGCAAAATACCCTTAGCCATCCAAGGATATACTGTGCCATTATCTGCTTCAATAAGAAACTGATTCCAGGGTTCAGCTACTTTCTCCAGTGTAAATCATGGCTTCTTCTCTTCACCCAAAGAGAAGTACTGCAACTCCCAACAGGTGTGCCACAGCAGGTGTCTAGTGTGCGGATTTATTTACCCTCTTCCCACCTCCAGCCCTTGAACAGCCAAGTGGGGCCTGGATCAGTCAAGCCTTAGGATTATTACTTCATTCTTTTACCTCAGAATGCCAGGCAGATATTACTTTCTTTGTGTGGTTTGAAGTAAAAAATATTGGAAAGCACTGCTTGAAGAATCCAAGAACAGTTAAGACTCTTAAACATCCTTGTTACATATAGCAGAATTTTAATATGACTATTTATGATTACCTGGATTTATTTATACCACAGGTCACACTACAGCCCCTAAGAAATAGCAGCTAACATAGAAAAGACTTGAGTACCTACATAGGGTATTAAAGAAAATATAAAGACGAATCGTGGTTTCAGGAAGTTGGGAAGCCGATTCAGATTTCAAAAACACTCATTGAACACCACATACATGGCAGTGATGTTGCCAGATGCTATCATAACTTTGAAGTCTGAGTGACCTGGAGGACTTTGGAAGAGTCAGGCCTAGTTTGAATCTCAGGTAGGTCTTATTGAAAATGGGTTGATGGAGATAATTCCAAATTACAGCCCTTCCTTGGAGAGTTGTGATGTGTCTATATAATCCAGGCACTTTCTTCAGAGAGATGCTGTTGTCCCTCTGATTGGCAGAACCATTCTTGGTCTAGATCACACTGAGAGTTTACCCAAGTAGAACCTCTGTTTCACAAAGGTTTTCCTTGGAGCCTAAATCACTGAAGAGAACTAAAAATTCTACTCATTCTCCTGTACCTCCCAAATCTTGATTCTTTGTGTGGCAGTGAGAAAATAATGCATCTTTGTACCTTACCATTTACCTCACAACCTTGCAACTCCAATCGAAGGGTAGGTCTGTTATAGGCTCGGGTTGGAGAGATCCTAATATATCTAGCCACAATAGGTGGGTCAAACTGATTCTCTTTTATTGTAGAGGCATCTGAATTGCCATTAAAATACTAGAAGAAAAGAGGAAAGTTTAGTTATGTAACAGTGATCTATAAAGTGACTTTATAATAAAATTTTGATCTAATTTAATATTGTAATACTACATTTTCATGGGGCCTGAACTAAATCAATTTGGTTATAAAATATACTTGGGGATAATTCCACTTCCAGGAATGTTGTATATATGTACTTTGCCCTATTACTCCTGGTAAGTACCACTAAAAACTTTGGACATTATAGCTAAGAGAAACCTAAGAAGGCGAAAAGAGCTCAGAAGACAGACTGACTAGGGTTCTCGGAAGGAACAAAATGGTGGTGAGTGTCCTGAATTTTCTTTTTGCCTCATAAATCCCAGACTTAGAGATGAAGAAACCAGGAACCTGGAAACACCAGTGAGTACAGACTGAAAAAGCCCAAATAAAATCTGCTTTCTCTAACCAAAGTACCAGTAAAGGGAAGTCTAGCAAGATATAATAGAAAACTTGTGGATACTGACTTCTCTCCTTTAGCCAAACACCACAGAAAAACCTGAGGCCCCTCCCCAGCCCACAACAGCAAAGGCTGAATGGGAAGCCTAGACTTCTATGCTCATGAGGCTAACGAGGCACCCCAACACTCTTACTGGGGGTTGTGTCAGAAAAGGCCATGTAGGGATTTAGGGCTTTCATCTCCAGCCCCTAATAAAGCTCCTGCCCCTGAGTGTCAGTGGAGGCCAAATGGGGAACTCCCGTTCCCACCCAGTCACCGAGGAACAATCCCTTCTTAGGTGGCAGTGGAGTGGGAAAACTGGACTTTGACCCCCACTCGGCAGTAACCAGGCCGTGCCCTATCCCTTTTCCTGACAGAGCAATGTCAGAAAAAGCCAACTTTTTAAAACAGAAGATTGGAGCAGGTATTGGTAATATTGAAAACAGAAAAACAATAGAGAAAAATCAATAAAACAAGGCTAAGAAGATTTTTTTTTTTTTTTGAGACAGAGTCTTACTCTGCCACCAGGCTGGAGTGCAGTGGCGAGATCTCGGCTCACTGCAACCTCTGCCTCCCAGATTCAAGCAATACTTCTGCTTCAGCCTCCCAAGTAGCTGGGATTACAGTTGTGTGCCACCATGCCTAATGTTTTAAAATATTTTTAGTAGAGAGTTTCACCATGTTGGTCAGAATGGTCTTGATCTCTTGACCTCATGATCTGCCTGCCTCAGACTCCCAAAGTGCTGGGATTACAGGTGTGAGCCACTGCGCCTGGCCAAGAAGATTTTTTTTAAATCGACAAATCTCTAGCAAGATTCACCAAAAAAAAAAAAAAAAAAAAAAAAGGAGATGCAGTTGACAATATCAGAGATGAAACAGGCAAAATCACTACAAACATGAAAAAGGATAAGGGAATATACAAAAAACTCTACACATATAAACTTAACAACACAGAGGGAATTGACCAATTAATTGAAATATACAAAGTATTTCAATTCACCCAATATGACATAGATAATTTGAATAGCCCTGTAACTATTTAGAACATAGAATTCATAACTTAAAAACTGCCCAAAAAGAAATCTGCAGGCCCAGATGGTTTCACTGGTGATTCCTACCAAATATTTAAAGAATTAATACCAACCGCAGACATTTTCTCCTAGAATGTAGAAAAGACAAGCTTACCAATTTTATGAAGCCAGAATATAGAATAGAAGAGCATGCTTACCAATTTTATGAAGCTAGTATAACTGTGGTATCAAAAGACAATTTAAAAAAATAAAACCACATACCAATATCCTCTCATGAATATAGATGACAAAATCTTTATGCTATGGACTCAACTGCAGTCTGTATTTTCTCTCATAATACTCATTAGTAAGAACCATAATTTAGGATTTCAATGGTGCTGAGACATATTATAAATAATTATTAAAAATAGGTAACTAATAAACAGTAAACAATTTTATATAAAATATGAGCAGAAACAGACTCGAGGTTATCGGTATAATAATGGCAGGCAGACTCCTTGCATTCAGGTAGGTTTCTTTGGGGAAGGGAATAGAGATGGGGAGAAGAGTTAGGGCTTCTGGCTGAGCCCCTGGAAGAGCAAGAAGGAGGATGCCATTCCTCAGGCATGGCCCCCCAAAAAGTCTGAGAATCACACTGCCTCAGAGGCTTACTAGCATTAACACTACAATTTACTTCAGGTACACTGAAATAAAGAACAAAACAAACTGCAATAGTAAAATCAAAAGTCTTGGTAGCGAAGTTTTAGCATGAGCTCCTTGAGGCACAAGACCAGATGTTCTACTCTGCCATACACCATTGGCCAGTCTGAGAAATCTGGGTATTTTATTTGATGATAAAATTATTTTTTAAAGTTTTGTAGGGTTTTGAAGTTTCAGTAACCCTGCTTCTCTCTTTAATTTGTAAGACACAGACCCATCATATTACTGCTTTTCTCCATATGACCCTTAGAAAGCCATTCACATTTCTAATACCCAGAAAGGTATTTTTTAAAATACATAATCATTAGGCATAGTCATAATAATCCTAGACTGAGTCTAGAGATTCAGATAGAAATATGCACACAAACCATCACATTCCTTGTGCTGTTCCCTTTGAAGATCTGCCAGTTGATCTGGTTGGAACTGTAGGCTACATAGAACTCTGTGGTATAGCAGGACTTCAGGTAGTGTTTGGCACCTTGGGTCTGGATCCCTGTGATTATGACTTCCTTTTGCATGTCCACCTGCAATATAGGAAAGCCAGTAAAAAGAACTGTCCTTGTCAACAAGTCACACACTGCCTAAATTCATTATACAATCAGCTTTCTCCAGAACTAAAGAGCTAGCACATAAGATCTTAGCAAACTGATACAATGACTACATATAATCCATATTCGTGCACAGAGTACCTAGATTTGAATCCCAACTCAATGACTAATTAGCTATGAGTTACTTTAGGAAGGCAGTTAGTATCTCTGTGCCTTTTGTTTTTTAATCTATAAAACAAGATATTATTACAACCAACCTCAGAGGGTTGATTTTAAGGACATAAAGTACTTAGAACGGTGCCTCGCACTTAGTACTTGCTATTTCCCCTAACAACATTGCAAGAACAATAACAAGAAGGAATTACTAAATCACTTTCATTTTTATTATTACAATAGCAGTAAATATTATCAGTCTATTAAACAAACCTGGATCCAAGGTTTAGAGGCCAATTCTGCTGCAAGTTTTTCTACACTCCAAGCATTATAAGATCCACCATTGTTTAATCTTGCTAATCTGGGCTCCCAGTAACCTAAACTCAAGGGAAGAAAAATATTTATTCTGAATTTTTTCAAAACTCAGCAATTTCTCAAGTGAGTTTAATCTACTGGAAAACCAGATCCTTGGAGGACCTGTGTTGTAGTCAGAAGTCTAGGCATGGGCCTCAGCTACTAAGCCAGTCCTTGATGATGAAATCTGAGCTTCAGGTCTGTGTTTGGTCAGCTGCCAACCACCACCTATCCCCTTTCTTGCACACAGGTCATGTTTGATTTTTTTCTATTATGTTGATGTTCCTAATGCTGAATGTGCCTGCCTACCAGGAAGACATGGAAGGGGTATATGGGAGCCTGATCATCCTCTTGATCATGACCTCTTGATCTCGGAAAGGGCTGACAGGCAGTGTGAGAAAACTTTGGAGGAGTTCCTGCCACATAGTGGAGGTTCAACAAAGTTTTCTGAATAGATGAGTGGTTGCCACAGGCAAAGGGCCATATTAATGGGGACTATAATGCTTAGCTGATAAGACCCTGTGAATCTGGCTGAAATACTACATGTGTGGTCAAACCCAGAAAAGGTGACTGAGGAGAGTTTGGAAATGGGCACGTGGTTATAAGAGTAAGCTATCTGATCCTTGCCAAATCCCTGCAAAGAGGCTGGGCTCTTTATGTAGAGAACTCAATGACCCCCAGCTATTGTTTTCTCCTGGAAAAGACTCTTTGGGAACATTATACACCAGAAGGGGTGGCAGTGTTAAGAGCACGCTAACAGGCCTTTAGGTCCTGTCACAGTGTTCCTTCCTTTACCATATGTGTACCACAAATGGAGCTGCGTCACTATATTGTAGTAGAGAAAAGCATAAAGAGAAGAACTGATTCATAGATAGGTTGTCATGTATGGTTTCATAGGCTGCATGCTGCACAATTGTAGGAGGTTCCATTCACAGACCATGGTGCTACAACTTACCCAGAAATTCTGAAGCCTTGATCTGTGAATCAGATATGATACCAGTGCTTAGTCCCATTGGCATCTTACAGTCTGAAAAACAGGAAAAAATGAATAACTTTTGCTTAGAAAATATATATAATAAAGTAAAACTCCATGGTTAGGGATTATGTTTCTGACAGGTCAGTAATTAGATATTTTTACCTACCTTGTGTGACCCTGACTTAAATATATCTGATTATAAAATGGTAAATGCACTAACAAGACCGGTGCTTTAATAGATATAGTGGCATCCCAGAAGAAAACAACTGAAATCCTGAAATGTAATCATGTTTTAAACTGATTTTCTTCTGCTTTTATCTTAACTTTGCTATTTTACAACATTAAGTACTATCCATGGCTAGGTGCAGTGGCTCATGCCTGTAATCCTAGCACTCTGGGAGGCTGAGGGGGAGGATTACTTGAGGCCAGGAGTTTGACACCATCTTGGGCAACCTCTTCTCTACAAAAAAATAAAAATACAAAATACAAAAATATGAAAAAAGAAAAGTTCTAGCCCTCATAAGACTATGTTCTCAAAAGTTGACCTCAAAGTTACAAGTTTATTTATATCCTGATTAAGGAAGGGACACCAGCCACTGTGCTACCTGGATGTTAGCACAGTGCTTCATACTCAACAGTGCTTAGTAATGGCTTAAAGAATGGATGAATAGATGGACAGATGAAAACTGTGTTTCCTAAATGCTGAAATGTCAAGTTTAGTGACTCAGTCATTGTTAAATTCCTGTGACCTTTTCCCTCCTCAACTCTTGGAACCTGGAGAATTTCTTACCTGCACTTGCCCATGGATCACAAATCATGAAGAAGGATGCTTTATGTAGGTTTCCCAATTGAGAGGAATGCTTTTGATCTGACTGCTGTGTTTTCAATGCAATCAGACCATGGACAAGAATAAAAGCAACTATGGCTACAAATTATGCCTTTGTCACATCAGTGTTCTTAGAGTTGAATATTTCCAATCTAAAAGTTGGTAATACTCTAGTAATAGGCACTCTCCTGCTAAACGAAATATCACATGGCTCTCATGATACCTCTGTCCATGATAAGAAATGGCGTTTGCATCCCTGCTCTCTGGTTTTCTCCAACCTCTGTGTTTAGGAGCCACCAGCCAGGTTTTGATGCCTTCATTTCAAGAGTTTTAAATGAACCTAAAATAAAAAGAACAACATTACATTTGCAAAAATTAACAAGTAAATATTGTGGTTGATAGTTCTCTACGAATTCTAAAATTCCTGCTTCACAAGAGACTTTCAAATAGAATTTAACCATTTTTCTTTAGGTATGACTACAAGTATAACAGATAAAAACAAAACAATAACAACACACACACAGAGATAACTAAAGAAATTTTTAAATCTCTACCATGCCTCACTAGAAGAAACTTTCACTTATCTAAATATAGTGTTACAAGTTAACTCACACACAATACAGCTTCACAGTCCTAAGTATCAAAGTGACCTCGAATGACATCATTGGGCCTCAAAAATATCATACATGTTTCCTTTCCCTCTCTTCATTTTGCTTTTTTCTCTTTTTTATAAAAGAAAATCAAAATAAAATCTTCTTCCTCCATGTTTTCAAATTTTCCATAAAGCTTACATATGTGACTAGAGATTTACATAAATTGTTCAGAAAAAAACACTGAAAGAATGAGATTTCTAAAACCTCTGGCTATCCATTCTGGTATTTAACATTACCCCCTGGCAGTTAATATTTAAATTCTGTTGACTATAATTTATGACTCTTTCCCAGATTGTGGGTGAAAATGAATAGATACGGTTATCTTCCTCAAACCCACTGAAAAAGATCTCCAGTTTTTCTCTCTCCAATGCAAGTATTCAGGTTTGCAGATTTAGAGATGCCAGCCAATCCTAGCTTCTCAGTCTGTCTCTAGGCTTATATGGGAAGGATGATTGATCTTCTAATACTCGATGAAAAGATGAGAGAATTTGACTGAATCTCTTCTGTCTCTGATTTTAATACGATAGATTAATTATCTATTGATTATTGTATTAATACAATGTTAATACAATATAATTAATACTCTCTAGATGTGTTAGTGAGTTACTGGCATGTGAAAAACCAACAAGAACCCTCTTTTTTTCCCTGCTCTTAATCAAACCAGTCCATTTGGACTTCTGTGCCTGCATCTGAGGCAGATTCACACAACCTCACTCAAAGTGCTGTCGAGGGACTGCCTTCACTAGATCCTCAGGCAGCGTGTGTTACGTTGGTGCAAACTATAATTGCGGTTTTTGCCATTACTTTTAATAGAAGGCAAAATAGAAGGAAATACAGACTTGTTAAAAATACAGACTCCCGGGAATTCTGCCCAAAATCTACCTTAAAGTCTCTGAGAACAAAATCCCTCTGCTTTCACATCTGCATTTTAACCGACTTCCTAGGTTTTTATTACATCCACTGAAGTTTGAGAATTTGGCATCTGGCATCACAGCCCCACCCACACACCTGCTGCATAAGTAGATACACGTACAAACAACTCATTGGCACAGAAACATCCCTTCTGTATAATTGTAGATTGTTTAAATCTACATTTATCTTTATTTTGCACATGAAAAGCTCTACCTTTGTTATTCTTTAACTTTTGTAACTATTTTTAAAAAATGTTTTCCCCTTCAAACAGTCTATAAGTCAGTTTAAAAATATGATTCCTGGAGTCACTTGCCCAAAGATATTAGGGTACTAGAGCCTAGAGGAGGAGCAGAACTGAAGAATCTGGAAACCCTCCCAGCAGAGATAACTGTAGCTGCCTGAGCCCTGTGGGATTCATTTTTTTATCTGCTTGAGACCTCATCTGTATGACACACAGTGGCTTGGGAGAAACTGCATGTTATGTAGCAACTGAGTTGGGTCACACATTTAGCCTGTGTGGTGCTGCAAATAGTTCATAAATTAGGTGACATTTTTGCACTCCGTCCATACTTTGGGTCTATGAGTTTGCCTAGGCTCTAAGCCAGAACCCTATGTTCTGACTCCTTAGGAAGTATATGCACAAGGAAGAAATAAGAAGGAGTAACAGATGCTATGATTGCCTTTTCCCTGTATTTCTTAGCAGGGGCCTCTTTCCATTTCCCAAGTCTTTACCAGGCAGAAGGGCCCAGACCCCTAACTGGTGTTGTTTATTGCCATTTTCCAGCAAGGTCTGGCCATGAAAGTGAACCACATGGATGTCTTGGGAGCCGCCTATGTTCAGCAGGTGTAACCTCACCCACTCTTGCTCGTACATTCTCAGGCCAGGCAAGCTGTAGATCATCCCATTAATGGCTGAAAGGACAAAGAGTTGAAATCAATTAAAAATCTGTTGACACAGAGAGGGCGACTGGTAAGGAAATATGGGGCAACTCACTCAACACCCATCTTCCTTATGATTCTGCATTCCCAGGCCTACCTAGCCATGGAAAGGGCCCTCTTGTATGTCATATTAGTGAGAGGCTGAAGCAGAACCACTAGTCCTTCTCATATCATTCACACCAGCCTACAGCAGAAGGCGGGGGTATCTCCCTTTCCAAGCGGTGTATCACTCTTTTCCCCAGCTTTTACACTTCTGAGCTTTACCCGTGTATCCTTTCCATTAACAGTCTTAATTTTCCTTAACTACAAAAAGATAAACACAAATATAGGCAGACAAAGTAAACTCCAGGGGTTAGAGTCAGCAAGGAGACATGCAGCATGTCACCTTAAGGCCTTCTAAATTCAGAGAAAGTTTCAGGCAAATTGGGAAGTCTAGGAGTTTATAATATGAGGAGTTTATTGTTGGTGTATCCAGCAACCATAGCAAGTCAACGTTTATTCTTTCATTGGTACGATAACTCCTCTGCCCACTTCTCAGATTAGGTGTCTCGGGTTCTCAGGCTTTATCTACTCTCCCTGTAGTAAAATATGTGGATTTTTTTTTTTAAGTCCCTGAGAAACATGATCACCTTAAAAATGTAACACAAACTTTTAAAGATAAAGTTTAGTGTTACCAAACATTTAACTGAAACCAAAGTGAGGGAAGTGCTTTGTTTCCTTCTTCTTAAGTTAGAGGAACTGCTGTGAAATTTCAGAAACCAGGCAAGCGAATTTTTGGAGAGGGATGGGTTGAGATCATTTGGGCATCCTTAAAATTGTATCAGGCATGAGAACACCTGTCTACATATTCATAACACAAGCTCGTACCTTTCTCCTCTCAGTTTCTGTTTCAGTTACTAGCTTACAGGCCAAATTTCTGAGTGAATTTCCAAGTAGGCACACTTTTCCCAGTGTGGCCACCCACATGCTCTCTTGCCACTATTCTCCCATTACCTGGGTACCTAGTTTCTTCTCTCATTTTGTTCTCATATGCTTTGGGTGCCACCTGGTAGCTGCTGAGAGCTAAAAACTGTTAGAATCATTCTTATTTTAGAAAAGACACACAGGTGATCATTTCTTTTATATAAACACTTGTGCCTTTAGAGATCCAGAAACAAGCTTATTAACTTTTTAAATTGCAGAACAATGTTAATTCCTTTTCAATGTGTGTTACCAGCTGAAGCACACTGGCTTTTTGTTGTGGTGGTTTTCTGTTCGTTTGTTTTATAGCAGCTTCTCTGCACTATCTTTCAGACTTTCTCTTTTTGCCTCACCCACAGTGTTACCTGCCAGATTACATCAGCCCTCTGCAATGTTAAGGAACCGGTTTTAGCTGTAGCTCTGGTTGTCTCAGAAGCATCTCATGTCTAATCTTGTGAAGCTCTAAGGGCAGGAATCACTGTGACCCAGTGTGATTTAATTAGATTAGATCAAAGTCAGAGGAAAATACCGTGAAACTCATGGGATTTTTTCACTTCTGAGGATGTGAGTCTCCAAGAACTTCGGGACTTCTTTTCATAGTACCAGCTCTTCTTTTCATCAAAAGTCATAAATAGTAAGACAAATTCTCTCATATCCACAGGCATGTTGCTGTCCTTATGTAGTATTCCTTTTTGGCAGATTAGGAGGGGACCTATCAAGCCTGAGTGAATATCTTTTTCCTGGAAAAAGAGAGTAAACTGTATTGTCTCTTTCTCAGGAATTTCCTTGCTCTTCTGATAGTCACTCATCATATAAAAAAGGAAACTTTCTGACAGGCTCTGAATTTGAAGATGAAGATTATAAATGAATGGCGTAATAAGCCTGGATATTTATCACCTAATTCTGTTGTATTCATAATCCTCCTTCCTCTGGTTGATCTTTATCCCAGTAACAATGATGATAATAATAAATTGATAATATAAGGGATACTATTTATTGGGAATCTACCAGAATATTAAATGACTTGCCTGCAATCTCTCATTTAATCGTGACATCCATCTTATATGATAAATATAAATTCATTCATTGAACAAGTATTTACCAAGTGCTTACCATGCACTATGTACTATTACCTCATTTTTAACTTCTGATACCAGGCTAAGAGAGGTCAAGGAATTTACTAGGATTATGCATTACGTGACAGGGTAAAAATTTAAATCTGAGTCTGTGCTCTTTACACTATGCATTAAATGAAGGAGTTGCTTCTCTTTTTAATTGACAAATAAAATTGTATGTATATACTGTGTACAATATATTGTTTTGAAGTATATATACATTGCAGAATGATAGATAAGGGAATCTTGACTTTGCAGTTTTTTCCCATAAAGAAAGAGCAGAACATAGCTAATATTTGTTCAAGAAAATTTCAAATAAATGCCATCTTCTGTAAATGTAGGCATTCTAATTCATGGCCAATCATTCAAGTAATCTTCCCTCCTCTCCACTGAATAAATGTTTCTCTCTCTGTCATCTGAAGAGCTGCATGGAGCGTCCCTGGTTATGATAAATGTAGACTGTTAACCACACCCTTATGCATTCCTCATGAAAAGCAAGACAGACATTTGACAATAAATAACCCCCTCTCTTCCATTTGGTGGACTCAGATTACGAGGTGAGGGAAATGAGAAAAACTTTCAATGAAAGTACCTACTGGGTTCACAGCTGAGTAGTAGGCCCAAGCCCGACAGGCAGAGCCAGGACTTTCTGGCCCTGATCGTTCAGTGGCATGCCATACGTAGGTATAAGTGCTATTTGGCTGAACAGCATTATCTTCCTTAAACCATTCAGGAGAGTCATCTTCGTAAGTCTTTCCCTCTGATGATTTTTCATAGGAAAGTCCATGGGCATGTAGAGAATATGGTCTGGATGCTAAATTTTTAAAACGAACCTAGAAAAAGGAATGATCCACAAATGTACTTAAGCTTAACAAAACTCTAAACCACAAAAATGTCAGCATTATAGGCCAAGGTGGCTGGTTATAAAATCGGAGCTAAGATATAAGGTATAAAATAACTTATGTATATTATTTCATTTAATTTTCACAACCATCCTGTGAGATATGGCCCAAGTACTTTTCTCCAGAAATACCAAAAGATATGTGTTCTTAGGCTCAAGGTTTAAGTACTGACATTATCTACTAATGAAATGAGAGTGATAGGTAGTGAAGATATGAAGATGAAAGAGGCTTGATTCTTGTTCATAAGAAGCTTTTAAGCTTCTGATGAAAACGACATGCACATGGGCATCCATACTACAAATCTGGAGACAACAGGTGCTATATACAAAATCTAAGTGGGTTCAGATGACGATGCCCTGGAGGAATGATTTGGTTGAATATTTAGGAGAGGTTGGAAGAATTAAGGTAAGTTTCTTGGAGGAAATGGAATTGGCCATCGTAGAATGAACAGGAGCTAGAAAGACATTTCAGACTCTCAGAAGGGGAGGAGGATGCCTGTGAGCAGGGGAGTAAAGGAAGAGTTTGGGGAATAGCAAGGAAGGATCTGGATGGAGCTGGGCTGTGAAATGCACAGGGACAGGTGGAACCTGGTGAGAAATGAGGCTGGAAAAGGACCAGGTTGGGGCCAGATGGTAAAGGACTTAAATGCCATATGGGAAGTCTTCACACCCCAGCAGTCAGACTCGTGAAGCTCCTCCCGGCCCTTCTATAACTTCTAGTGATTAAAGACCCCCTAATTGTCTGTTCCTTATTTTATTCTACAAAGCCAGCATCACCCTAATAACAAAACCTGGCAAAGACACAATGAATCATGAAAACCACCGGCCAATATCTCTGATGTACATAGACACAAAAATCTTCAACAAAATACTGGCAAACCAAATCCAGCAGCAAATTAAAAATTAATTCATCACAATCACATAGGCTTCATTCCTAGGATGCAAAGTGGCTCAATGTATGCAAATCAATAAATGTGATTCACCACATAAACCAAATTAAAAACAAAAACAGTATCATCATCTCAATAAACATGGAAAAAGCTTTTGATAAAACCTAACATCCCTTCATGATAAAAACCCTCAACAAACTAGGCATTGAAGGAACATACTTCAAAATAATAGGAGCTATCTATGACAAACCCACAGTCAACATCATACTGAATGAGCAAAAGCTGAAAGCCTTCCCTGTGAGAATTGGAACAAGACATGGATGCCCACTCTTATCACTCATATTCAACACAGTACTGGAAATTCTAGTCACAGCAATCAAGCAAGAGAAAGAAATAAAAGGCAACCAAAGAAGAAAAGAAGTTAAACTATCTCTCTTCATTGGCAATATGATTCTGTACCTAGAAAACCCTAAAGACTCCACAAAAAGGCTCCAGGAACTGATAAATGACTTCAGTAAAGTTTCAGGATGCAAGATTAATGTACAAAATCAATTATACAAAATACAATGTACAATGTACAAAGTAGCATTTCTATACATCAGTAATGTTCAAACTGAGAACGAAATCAAGAACACAATCCCATTAGAAATAGACACACACACACATACACACACACACACACACAAAATACCTAGGAAAACATCTAACCAAAGTGGTGAAAGATCTCTGTAAGGAGAATTACAAAACACTGATGAAAGAAATCATGGGTAACACAAACAAATGGAAAAACATTCTATGCTCATGTATTGAAAGAATCAGTATTGTTAAAATAGCCATTGTGCCCCAAGCAATCTACAGATTCAACACTATTTTTAATGAACTACTGAAATCATTTTCCTCAGGATTAGATAAAGCTATTCTAAAATTCATATGGAGTCAAAAAAGAGCCTGAATAGCCAAAGCAATCCTACGCAAAAGGAACAAATCTGGAGGTGTCACAGTACCTGACTTGAAACTATACTATAAAGCTGCAATAACCAAAATAGCATGGTACTGATACAAAAACAGACACATAGGCCAATGGAACAGAATAAAGAACCCAGAAATAAAGCCACACACTTACAACTGCCTGAACTTTGACAAAGTCAACAACAACAACAACAAAAAACAAGGGGAAAAGAACTCGTATTGAATAAATGGTGCTGGAATAGCTGGCTACCCATATGTGAAAGAATGAAACTGGACCCCAATGAATCCAATGAAACTGGATTAATCATATACAAAAATTAACTCAAGATGGATTACAGATATACCCTAGGACATAAAGTATAATTAAAAAAAAAATGGATTAAAGATTTAAATGTAAGACCTTAAACTTTAAGAATCCTAGAAGAAAACCTAGGAAACGCCATTCTGGATATCAGCCTTGGGAAAGAATTTATGACTAATTCCTCAAAAGCATTTCAACAAAAGCAAAAATTGACAAACTAAAGAGCTTTTTCTCAGCAAAAGAAGCTACCTACAAAGTGAACAGACACAGAATGGAAAAAATATTCACAAAGTATGTATCTGACAAAGGTCTAATATCTAGAAACTATAAGATAGTTAAACAATTGAACAAGTGAAATACAAATAACCCCATTAAAAAGTGGGCAAAAGACATGAACAGATACTTCTCAAAAGAAGACATACGAATAGCCAACAAACGTGAAAAAAATGCTCAACATCACTAATCATCAGAGAAATGCAAGTCAATACCACAGTAAAATACCATCTCACACCAGTCAGAATGGCTATTAGTAAAATCCAAAAAATAGATGCTGGTGAGGCTGTGAAGAAAAGGGAATGCTTATACACTGCTGCTTAGAATGTGAATTAGCCACTGTGGGAAGACGTTTGGGGATTTCTCAAAGAACTTAAAACAGAACTACTATTTTAAGTGAGGAGACCACTCCTCATATTGTCTTATGCCCAATTTCTACCTCCAAAGAAAGAAGTAAAAACTAAAAGGCAGAAATGAAATCTAAAAGCAGACAGCCCGGCGCCACACCGTGGGCCTGGTAGTTAAAGATCGACCCCTGACCTAATTGGTTATGTTATCTATAGATTACAGACATTGTATAGAAAAGCGCTGTGAAAATCCCTGTCCTGTCCTGTTCTGTTCTAATTACCGGTGCATGCAGCCCCCAGTCACGTACCCCCTGCTTGCTCAATGGATCATGACCCTCTCACACAGACCCTCTTAGAGTTGTGAGCCCTTAAAAGGGACAGGAATTGCTCACTTGGGGAGCTTGGTTGTTGGAGACATGAGTCTTGCCAAAGCTCCTGGCTGAATAAAGCCCTTCCTTCTTTAACTCGGTGTCTGAGGGGTTTTGTCTGAGGCTTGTCCTGCTACAATTTGACCTAGTAATTCTATTACTGGGTATATAGCCAAAAAAGAAAATAAATTGTTCAGCCAGGCACAGTGGCTCATGCCTGTAATCCCAGCACTTTGGGAAGCTGAGGCAGGCAGACTGCCTGAGGTCAGGAGTTTGAGACCAGCCTGGCCAATTAAAACCCTGTCTCTACTAAAAATAGAAAAATTAGCTGGGCATGGTGGTGGGCACCTGTAATCCCAGCTACTCGGGAGGCTGAGGCAGGAGAATTGCTTGAACCTGGGAGGCAGATGTTGCAGTGAGTTGAGATCATACCTCTGTACTCCAGCCTGGGCGACAGAGTGAGACTCCATCTCGAAAAAAAAAAAAAAGAAAAAGAAAATATATTGTTCTACCAAAAAGACACATGTACTAGGATGTTCATCACAGCATTATTCACAGTAGCAAAGACATGGAATCAACCTAGGTGCCCATCAGGGGTGGACTAGATAAAGAAAATATGGTATATATGCACCATGGAATACTACACGCCATAAAAAAGATTGCAATCATGTCCTTTACAACAACATGGATGCCAGCTGGAGGCTGCTAAGTGAATTAATGCAGAAACAGAAAACCAAATACTACATGTTCTCACTTATAAGTGGGAGCTAAACGTTGGGTACTCACGAACATAAAGATGGCAATAAACACTGGGGACTACTAGAGCGGGTGGAGGGAGATGAGCAAGGTCTGAAAAACTATTGGGTACTATGCACACTACTTGGATGATGGGATCAATCATACCCTAAACATCAGCATCACATAATATACCCAGATAACAAACTTGCACATATGCCCCCTGAATCTAAAATAAAAGTTTAAATTATTTTAAAAATACACAAATGAAGTTATTTTTATCTCGTGAAATCCAGGGCTGAAACAAAGATTCAGTATTTGATTTTTTTCCTTTTGCCTAAGGCTCCAGTATGACTCAATGCAACATTGTTACTGATCCTGTTTTTATTCACAATTGTGATGTTTTGTTAATTGTGACTTTCGTGTGTTTTTGATTTTTAAATTTTTAAGAAAACTTCAGTTGCTTTAGGGATGCAAGTGGTTTTTGGTTACATGGATGAATTGTATAGTGGTGAAGTCTAGGATATTAGTTGTACCTGTCACCTGAGTAGTGTACCCTGCAACCAGGAGGTAGCTTTTCATCCATCCCCCTGTTCCCTTTTGAATCTCCAATGTCCATTATACCAATCTGTCTGCCTTTGCATACCCATAGTTTAGCTCCCATTTATAAGTGAGAACATACAGTGTCTGGTTTTTGATTCCTGAGTTACTTCACTTAGAATAGGTTTTTAAAATATTGTGTTAAATTATCATTCATCTTGAAAAAGGATCCCCTAATCATAAGAGAGAATACTGCCTTCCATAGCTTCATGGAAAATTTAGAATAATTAAGATTCTTATATCCCTATGTACTTATTTACATTTTTAAAAAGAGCAAATGGTCACTGAAAATGTACTGAATGCTTACACAGGTATAGTAGATTATATTTTAAAATCTAGAATAGCTTACTTTAGAATCAGGGTTCTTTCTGGGTTTTTGAACATGAGAGGGTAGCAAAAATGGCGGAAGTAAACTTTGTTATAAAAGCAAGTTATAATCCTAGGTCTGGACACAAGATTTTGAAAGAAATGACCAGAACTAGGAAGACACTGAAGAAACTTGCTCACTTTTGGAGGGCACAGAGACATCTTTACTTTCCTTACTCATTTTATTTAACTTCACTTTATTTATTTTTTTAGGAAAACATCAGGAGATATTTCTAAATTGCTATTACTACTAGCACTACTACTGCCACCACCACCACCACTACTATGAAGCCCAATTCAATTGCTCTTGAATATATTAATTTTCTATGTTAACTCTAGATAGGTTAGCTTTAGATAGAAATTACAGAGAGATTTTCCACAGATTATATAGTTTTCAGCATTTTAAAAAAAGTGAGACCTTTTTTTTTTTTTTTTAGTCTTGAAGATTGCCAAATTGTTTGACAAGGAGTCTTTGAAAAGAAATGTAATTATTCATTAATCCTGGAAAATAAACAAATCACCTATAGCTCTCTTGCCACCTGCACCTTTACAACCCTCTGGTGCTTGTGGAAATTCCTCCGATGATCTTAGCAGTGCTCCAAAGACTTACTTGGATAACATCATCCACTTCAGCTCTGATAATAGGACCAAGAATTCCGAGATGCTCTTCGTACTCCCCTCGAGGATCACGTTTGGTAAAAGTGCTGTCGAGGTACTTTCGAAAAACTACTTTCTTATATACGGTGTCTTCTGGAATATCATCAGAGTCTTCAATATCTGTTTCCCTGAAATAATAATACTAATTGTGTAAAAGAAGAAATTAAAGACTGTTCAAAGAATTTAGGAAATTGTCTCTTTCTAAATATAGCATCTAGCATAGAGAAGGTCTTTAATAAATATTTGATGGACAAATGAGTAAATGTAAAAGTGAATAAAAACAAAAGCCAGTAAATATCTTTCAATTCCTAACTCAGATATTATTTCATAGGTAAGTCTTCCTATGACCTTTCAGACTAGGTCAAGTCTCTATATCAATTCCTTATATTTCTCTAGTATTATTATAGTATATATAGTAAATTCCTGTAGTATTCTTATACTATTTCTATAGTATATATGGAATATTATATATAATTTATTTGTGAGATTATCTATTAATATCTGACTCTCACTGGGTATAAGTACCATGAGGTCAGCCATTGTGCCTAGTTTGCTCATAATACTCTCTCCAGTGGTAAGCACATTATCTGGCACACAGTAGGAGCTTAATAAATTTTTGTCAAACATATAAATGAATGCACAAATACAATCATACGTTCTAATTTTTAAGATCAAAGGCAGACAAAGCCATGTAATGGGACAGCGCCAGAGCTTGGGGCTATCAGGTGACAATGGTCAGATTAATTAGAAGGTCATACTTATGAAAGTCACTGGATGGATGAATGTTTTGTACCCTGAAAGTAGCCACTCTTCTCACATTTGTTTTTTGCTAATGTCCATTATTCTTAAGCTTCTTGACACTGGTGTGGACAAAGATTTTTTGGATATGACCTCAAAAGCAAAGGCAACAAAAGCAGAAATAGACAAATGGGATTGCCACCAAACTCAAAAGTTTATGCACAGCAAAGGAAATGACAGAGTGAAGAGACAACCTGTGGAATGGGATAATATTCTTGAAAACCAAATATCTGATAAGGAATTAAAATTAAAAGTATAAGGAACTCAATTCAGCAAAAACCCAAATAGCCTGATTAAAAAATGAGCAAAAGACTTGAATAGACATTTCGTAAAAGAAGACATGCAAATGACCAACAAATATGTGAAAAGATGCTCAACATTACTAATAATCAGAGAAATGCAATTTAAAATCACAATGAGGGCTCACCTCACACCGTCAGGATTGTATTATAAAAATGACAAAAGATAAATGTTGGCAAGGATGTGAAGAAAAGGGAACTCTTGTACACTCTTGGTGAGAATGTAAATTAGTACAGCCATTATGGAAAACAGTATGGGAGGTTCCTTTAAAAATTAAAAATAGAATTACCATATGATTCATTAATCCCATTTTTGGGTATATACCCACAGAAAATGAAATCAGTATGTTGAAGAGATATCTGCTCTCCCACGTTCACTGCAGCATTAGCCACATTAGCCAAGATAGGGAAGCAACCCAAATGTCTATCAACAAATGAATGGATTTCTTAAATGTGATCTGCATAAACAATGAAATACTATTTAGCATTGAAAAAAAAGAAAATGGTCTGGGCGTGGTGGCTCACACCTGTAATCCCAGTACTTTGGGAGGCCGAGGCGGGTGGATCATGAGGTCAGGAGATTGAGACCATCCAGGCTAACATGGTGAAACCCTGTCTCTACTAAAAATACAAAAAAAATTAGCCGGGCGTGGTGGGAGGCGCCTGTAGTCCTAGCTACTCGGGAGGCTGAGGCAGGAGAATGGCGTGAACCCAGGTGGCGGAGCTTGTAATGAGCCGAGATCACACCACTGCACTCCAGTCTGGGAGACACAGCGAGACTCCGTCTCAAAAAAAAAAAAAAAGAAAAGAAAATGAAGAAATGTCATCTGCGACAACATGACTGAACCAGGAGGTCGTTATGTTACATAAAATAAGCCAGGCACAGAAAGACAAGTACTGCAGGATCTCACTTATAATGTGGAAACTGAAAACATGGAGCTCATAGAAGCAGAAGGTACAACCGTGGTTAACAAAGGAATACAGAGGTGAAGCACTGAGAAAATGGTCAAAAGATAAAATTCAATTAGAAGAAATAAATTTAGAAGATCTGTTGTATAAGATGGTGACTGTAGTTAATAACAACACACTGAATTTTTTAACATTGCTGAGTACATTTTAAGTGTTCTAACCACAAAAAAGTATGTGAGGTAATGCATAGGCTAATTAGCTTGATTTTGTCAATTCACAGTTTATAAATATATGAAAACATCATGTTTGCACCATAAATATGTATAAAACAATGACCAAAAACAAAAGACAAAAAAAACTGTGGTACACCCATGTAATGGAGTACATGCAATAACCTGACAAATCTCCAGAGAATTTTACTGAGTGAAAAAATACCAGTCCCCAAAGGTTACATGTTGCCTGATTCCATTTATGTAATATTCTTGAAATGACAAAATTATAGAAATGGAGATCAGACTACTGGTTGCCAGGGAATAAGGAAGGGGTATGGTGGGAGGAAGGTCGATATGAGTATAAAGGGGTAAAGAGAGGGATTTTTATAGTGATGGTAAACATCCCGTATCTTGACAGTATCAATGTCAGTATGCTGGTTGTGATACAGTATTATAGATTTGCAAAATGTTACCCCTGGGAGAAACTGGGTAAAGAATACTCATGATACCCAAATAATCTCTCCGTATTATTTCTCTTGACTGTATGTGAATCTATTTTATTTTTATTCCAAAATAAAAAGTTTAATTAAATAAAGCACATTATTTCCATCTAGTTCATTGTCTCAGTCTAGGACTGAAGCATGTCGAATTTTCCCACTGGCTCTCACATTTCCCAAGCCTGTGGAAACAAGCCAAACACTCACCCATCACACCCATAATATTTGCTATATACCGTGAGCCATCAACAGAGAATCTCATTCTGCCTTTCTTCTGGTCTACCTCCCCTACTAATCCCATCTTTCCAGACTCTGAGCATAACATGCAAACTCACAGAACACAAGGGAGTGGGTAAAGCAACTTTGACTGCCATTAAAGTGGGTCGTGAGCCTTGAATGGAATACAAGATTTTGAAGGTGGTTCCATCCCTATTTACTCTGGACAGGCCCTACATCTTACTCCATCAGGCCTTGCTTAGAAATGCTTAGATAGCTAGTTGTTCTCATATGGTATTGAGTGCAACATTTAAATAGGAAGTCATAGGAAAAAGTGTTTTAAACAGAGTTCTAATGTGGAAATGTCAGGCATCAGATTAATGAAGTCATTTGGGTAAGTCACACCATACATTGTGTTTGCCTACTGTAATTACACTTTGGTTTTTTAAGTGATTAATGTAACAGTTTTAGTAAAAGCTGTGGGCTATGTCTAGACAGTTGATGCGCAGTCATCATGCTATGTCCCTGAGAATTTGTAGTTGACTAAGCCTTGCTCCTTTCCTTCTCTTTCTGTATCTTCATCCCAGAACAAAGAACCCAGTTCAACATGGCTTTCTACCCCTAAGCAAAACTGAATTGTAAATTGTCTTTAAAAAAAAGCAATTTGGATCTCTTAGAAATTCTGATCTAAACAAGTAAATGCAAAAAGGAGATTTCTACATCATATTTGGTTTTGGATTTGAGGCTAACTTCAATTAAATCATATTGATTAGCATATAGCTATGGATAGGTTGGGCTCTGCCTGAAGCAATAAGAATCAGTAGAAACAAGGGTAGTAAGAGGAGAGGACACAGAAAAAGGTCTAATTACAGAATATTATAGAGTTCTCCCAATGACTGTTCTTATATTGTCCAGGGGTCATCCAAGGTAAAGAAGCAGTTTTGGAATTGACAAAGGAAATAGAACAGACCAACTTGCAATAGGGAAACCACACTGTTCTTAGTATAATTTGCCCACAATTATCCCCCTGAATTGTAGTAGCTACTTTTTTCAGGAGTAATGGAAAAATGAGAATAAAAAAGGAGAAAACTGGCCAAACCTTTGTACAAATTCTGAATAATCCCAGGATATTTCTTCAGCAGCAATGTAATAATTTCTTCTGTTTCCATTGTTGCTGCGGAGGAGGTACCATGCTGCAATGTTGTCAGGATTTCTGGAGGAGTTGATGTTTGTCCTAACATCAGTTTTGTAGGGGTCATCATAGGGCACATAATCAATTTCAGCATAGTCATCTTCACTGCTCTGGACCTCTTCCTTTGGAATAATCTCAATGTAATCTGTACCATCTTTACTGAGGCCCACTATAACCAGTGGATTAAATTCCTTTGATAGAAAAGTATCATTGAGAGTAGGAGGTGAAGGAGATGGCATCTGACCAAGGTCTGGATAAGGAAAAGTCTCATTAAATTCTGGAAGATGCAATGACTGACTAGATTCAGAAGGGTAGAATGTCTGATCAAGGTCTGGAGGAGGTGATATCTGGCTGAGATCAGGGAGAAGGGTGGTCTCACTGATGTCTGGAGAGACAGTCACCTGGCTGAGGTCTGGAGAAAGGGGCATCTGACTGAGGGCTGGGGAAAGGTTTGTATGACTGAGTTCTGGAGAGAGGTTTGTCTGGCTGAGGTCTGGAGAAAGGGTTGTATGGCTGAGGTCTGTAGTAAGGGTTGTCTGGCTGAGGTCTGGAGACATGGACATCTGACCGAGGGCTGAGGGAAGGTTTGTCTGACTGAGGTCTGGAGAAAGGGTTGTATGGCTGAGGTCTGGAGAGAGGTTTGTATGACTGAGGTCTGGAGAAAGGGTTGTATGGCTGAGGTCTGGAGACATGGGCATCTGACCGAGGGCTGGGGAAAGTGAATGCAGAGCATGGCATCTGGCGAAGCTGAGAAAAGTTTGTGACTGAGAGTCTGAAAAGTTAACATGGCCAAAGTCTGAAAGTTTGTATAATAAAGTCTGGAAAGGTTGTAGGACTGAGGTCTGGAGAAAGTTGCTTAGGACTGAGGTCTGGAGAAAGGGTTGTCTGGCTGGTCTGAGCATGAGCATCAGCTGGCCGAGGGCTGGGGAAAAGTTTGTCTGACTGAGTTCTGGAAAGTGTGGCTGAGGACATGGGCATCTGACCGAGGGCTGGGGAAAGGTTTGTCTGACTGAGTTCTGGAGAGAGAGTCGTGTGGCTGAGGTCTGGCGAGAAGTTTGTTTGGCTGAGTTGTGGAGAGAGGGTCACCTGGTTGAGGTCTGGAGAGGTGACTGTCTGCCAGACTTCACGTTCTGAGGAAGGGGACATTTGACTTATATCAGTGGGGAAGGACTTGTGAATTCGGTCATACTCAAGCATCTCACTGAGCTCTGGAGCAGAGGATCTGTGACTGGGGTTTGAAGTAGAGTGCATTTCATCAGGGTCTTGAATGGGGAATGTTTCATAGTGTTCCTCTGGGGGCACTGTCTGATAAAGACCTGGAGGAGAGCTTGTCTGACCAGTATCATTTGAGGAATTCTGATTATGGTCAGGAAGTGAGGCTATCCAGCTAAAATCCATAGAGGGCAATGTCTGATTGAGGTCTTTGGGAAGAGATGTTTCATTGGATTTATGAAGCAACAATGAATGGTTAAGTCTTCTTTCTGAAAATGTGTTGTAGGCTTCACTTCTTAGAGGGTGAAAGGTCCTCGGAGATAAAGGAGCATGGTGTGTACGCTTCTCTTTTTTCTTTTTTCGTGTCTTAATGAGAAACTGACTTTTCTTTAGTCCACTCTTTCCTCCATCCTGTCTTACTTGCAGAGATTTATGTCTAACTCTAGGAAACTTTGGGTGGCCACTCTGCTTTCCAGACTTGTTGGCAAGAGGGGTGCTTTCTCCCCAAGCATGTGAGGCATTCTGGGGGCTGATCAGTCGATTGTTAACAGCTGTGTCTTCATCAGTATCTTGGAGTATTTCATAGCTACCTTTCTCAGAAGCCAAATGCCATCTCCCAACCAAAATCTTAGATGAGTTATTTTGTTTTAAGAGTAACAGATCACTAGGAAGGTCCTCCCAGGGGCTCACTCTGGAGGGAGAACCAGTGTCTCGGCTTAGGTGTCTCCCAACTTTATGTGCTAGTAATTTCATCCGGGAGAACCTGTGCTTTGCTGCTTGGTCTCTTTCTACCTTGGGTCCCTTATGTTTAGCATGTTCTTGATTTTTGAATTCTCTAGCACCAAGTGAAAGTAGATGTATCCCTGTGACATCTGGCTGTAGAGGATCCTCTATAGGGTCTTCAGAATAAGGGCTGGAATGCTCTGCTGTGGAAGAATTGAGAACTGAGTTCTTGCCAGTGAGGTGTCTCAGTGGGGAACCAGCTGTGATGGCTTGTCGCTGAGAAGGGGTTTTCTGAGGTTCTGCAAAGTTATTGACAGTGAGCTTACTAATATTATTTGGGGAAGAATAATTTGAACCAACAATTATATCTGTGTTCGAAGAAATGAATTCAGTGCCATTCTCCAGAACTAGGGCAGTAAGATTGTACTCTTCTTCTTCCTGATTCAATGATGAGTTTCTGAATGACCTAATTCCTAATGCTGCAGCCAGTCTGCTCTGGTAATCATAGTCAGTGTCACTCTCTTCATCTTCAGTTTCTAAACGATCATGCATTTTCCGTGTAGCTATGACTGTAGATTCTGGAGGTTCAAAAATCTCATATGAGTCTTCATCATCATCTGTAATACATTTAACATCCCTGAATTTCAGCCTCAGCTTTTTGCTTCTTGGACTAGAATTCATGGAAGTTAACATCCAAGTTCCTACAGAAGAGAGACAGAGAGAAGAGATATCTGGAAGTCTGGGAAAAGACATGAAAACACAGTAATCCATTGTGGCAGGTAATTTCTAATAAACTTTAGACAGGAATACTCAAGTATGGGCTGTGGACCACTGCTTGTCTGTGAACTATTGATTACTGGGTCAAAATAACATAAGGAGAGAAAAATGAGAATGAAATATTTAATAAACTTTTTCTTTTCTGAAGCAATTTGACATTGCTGTGACTCTAAGCACATGACCAGTGCATTTATCTCGCTTAACAGAATAAAAACCAAAAGTATTGCTTAGTGGAGATTAGAGGGGAAAAACGGTCTTCCAGCACAGATAGTTACTCACTATTTTAAAATACATTAAGAAAGGGATGAATCAAGAATAAAATGGACTTTTAATATCATAAATATCTTAACAGCACATCTTGTCTTAGAATTAGAGTTAAAGGGCTGATGATGAGCTCTATCCTCACAAATAGGAGACATTTAGATGTTTCTAAGTAATAATTCAGGAGGACAGTTTTGAATCTCTGAAATGGCATGCATTGCTGGCACATTAAAGATTTCTTGGTGAGTCTCTAATAGTTACCATTGTTGTTGTCTACTGAGTGCTAGGCACTTGGCACTTGGCACATATTACTATTTTAATGGTCAAAGTAACTCTGTGAGATGTGATTACACTGTTTTCCAGATAAATGATCTGTGGCTCAGTGAGGCCAAGTAACTTGTGTGAGGTTACATAGCAATTGAGTGGCAAATCACGACTTGCATTCCAGTCTGACAAACTCCAAAGCTGTTGCTGAAGCAGCTTCTAAGGCACTGTACCTGATGATTGAAGATGGCTGTCGCAAAAAACTGAAAAGGGCATTTTGATAAAAGAAATGCTCTTTTGTGGGAAAAATATTTATGCTTCTTCCTCAAAGTTATGCCTTATTTTTCTGCTATTGTATATCTTCCTAATTTGCCCAGAGAAGGAAAAATATAACCTACACTAAAGAACTGGATCCATTTAAGTCATTAATTTCTCAAAGAGAAACCATGAGAAACATTGAAAGGAAAGTCTGCAGGGGATCAGGGAGATAAATAGAGGAGCACTGGTAGCCTGGAGAGCTGCAGCAGACCTTCATAGACCAGAAATTCAAAGCAAGCTTCCTCTCTGAGTGTCCAGGCTCTTACTCACCAACATTATCCATTGTGACCGTCACAGATTCTCCACGCATGGGGAAGAGGGTCAAGGTGTCCTCATGCCTCTTTCCATAGATGAACGAGTGCCCAGTGAAGTGGATGGTCAAAATTTCATTCTGGGTCCCCACACTACAGAAGTGCCACTGGACAGTGTCATCAAAGCAGAATCCGAGAGTAGTTATGCTCTCGGGCACATAGCCATTGATAGCTGAAAGTGTAAAATCTGTTAAAATTCCAGGTCTATGCCAACGAAAGGGCATGTGTCTAATTATACCTAAGATAAATGTCTCCATGTTAATTTGGTTGTGTCAAAGCAGTGATTATCCAAGATAAGCTTTATCTAGTCTAACACGTGACTAGAAGATCAAACTCAGAATTTTCAAGTGAGAGATTATTCTCCTAAATTAGCCAAAGAAGAAATCTCAGGAAAAAGATAAAGCCTTCCATTTACATTGATTTAGTCATTCATTTGTCAAATGTATAGTAAATATTTTGTGCTCCATTCTCTGCCTTTAAAGATATTCTAATAATTCCACTTGGAGGAAAAGCATAATAGAAGAAATTCATTTTTTGATGTACTAGTCATTGGGTAAGAAGTAATGTCCCAAAAAATAAAGCCCATTTAGCATATTTTATAGTTTTTATTGCTGTCTTATAATCTATATAGTATTCACAGTTTCCATTTGAGTATCCAGTTCATACATTTCCATAATTGTTAAAAGGGACACTGCTGTAGGCAATATTTCTATTTACTTATGTACTAAGCATAGTAAAAATCAAAGGTATGATTTCTATGAAGGCGGGGCTCATGTCTATCTTGATTACCACTCTTAGCCTTAGTACCAGTATAATGACTGGCATTAACAAATATTTAAATACCTACTTAAATCACTAAAGTGACTTTAATAATTTACATGATACATTATTAGTTTATACCTTATTCTAGATGTTTCTCTAAATCGTCTATAACTGCATTGTTCAATATGGTAGCCACTGGCTACAAGTGGCTATTGAGCACTTGAAATGTGGGTAGACTGGACTGAGATATGCTGTGAGTATAAGATATACATTGAATTTCAAAGACTTAGTAATGAAGTAAGTCTCATTAATTTTTATATTGATTACATGTTGAAATGATAATATTTAGGATATATTGAGTTAAGTAAAACATAATACTAAAATTAATGTCACCTATTTCTCTTTACTTTTTAATGTTGCTATCAGAAAATTTTAAATCACACATGTAGCTCATACGTAGCTTCTACTGGACAGCACTGATCTAGAACTATGATAGATTCACTGCCAAAAGGAACTTATGCAAAGAAAACTGAGTTATTTGACCTGGCGCCTGTCAGCTCTGATAATCCCTAGCTGTCAGTCATCTGAAGCTATATGAACAGAACATGGAGAAATCATCCTCACGTGTGTGATTACCTACTAGAGAAGGTGATTACCATGACTCTAGACTCTGAGGATCAGTAGGGGGAGCTCTGGTTGTTGTGGAGAAGTTTACTTCCAGCTGGCTCAGTGACATTTCTCTCAGACGCCATGGCAGTGCTTTTGGCTACTGAACTTTAGAACTGCGGCAAATGCCGGAAACCTCATTCAGGGAATTCCTTTTGTTCTGAATGTCTTACTGATCACTTTAAACTTCTTTGTACATTGCCTTTCCAAGACTCTTGGGTCCCTATACTCATTTTGCTCTACTTTAATGTGTCAATTCATCTTTGAATTACTTGCCTTGTTTCTGTCCTGGCCATATATTCACCCTGAACTCAGTCTAGGATACTATTGACATGGCCTGTAACACCTTCCATTAGTCCTACCCCCTCACCCTGTTCCTCACCATTTAGAGTACGTCTGTGTACACACACACACACACACACACACGCGCGCGCGCACACGCTTGGAATAGAAGATCAAGTGCATTTCTAAGGATAGCAAGCCTTTGACCTCTTGCTTAAAAATGTTGCTATGATATTACCCACGGATTTCATCACCAAGTCTTTGGACTGGAAGTGAGGATTGGAGATGCTCCTTAGCAAGTGGATTCTAATCCATGTCTCTGACTCTAGGCACAGTCATATTTCAACCACAGGAATGAAAAACTGATGAACAAAACTAGTACTCTGACTTACTGCTCATGATGTTTGATTCATAAAACTTGGGGTCATCACGTTTCACCTCATCAGGATTTTCACAAAACTTGTTGATGTTGTCCTCAAGGTACCAACTTTTGTTCTCATCAAACACAGCAAACACAGCCTGCTGTTCGATGTCTGCTGCCCTCTGGAGGACAAAACAGTATAGTACTGGTACAAGAACAGACACATAGACCAATGGAACAGAATAGAGAACTCAGAAATAAGGCTGCCCACCTACAACTATCTGATCCTTGACAAACGTGACAAAAACAAGCAATGGGAAAACGATTCTCTATTCCATAAATGGTTCTGGGAAAACTGGCTAGCCGTAGGCGGAGAATTGAAACTGGACCCCTTCCTTACACCATATACAAAAATTAACTCATGATGGATTAAAGACTTAAATGTAGGCCTGGCGCGGTGGCTCATGCCTGTAATACCAGCACTTTAGGAGGCCAAGGTGGGTGGATCACCTGAGGTCAGGAGTTCAAGACCAGTCTGGTCAACATGGCAAAACCCATCTCTACTACCAAAAAAAAAAAAAAAAAATTAGCCAGGTATCATGGCGTATGCCTGTAATCCCAGCTACTCGGGAGGCCGAGGCAGGAGAATCACCTGAACCTGGGAGGCAGAGGTTGCAATGAGCTGAGATTGTACCACTGCACTCCGGCCTGGGCAACAGAGCGAGACTCTGTCTCAAAAATAACAAAAACAAACAAACAAACAACAACAAAACACTTAAACATAAAACCCCAAACTACAAAAACCCTGGAAGACAACCTAGACAATATTATTTGGGACATAGGCATGGGCGAAGCTTTCATGACGAACATGCCAAAAGCAATAGCAACAAAAGCAAAAATTGGCACATGGGATGTAATTGAAACAAAGAGCTCCTGCACAGCAAAATAAACTATCAAGAGAATAAACAGACAACCTACAGAATGGCAGAAAATTTTTGCAAACTATGCATCTGGCAAAGGTCTAATATCTAGCATTTACAAGGAACTTAAATTTACAAGAAAAAAATAAACAGCCCCATTAAAAAGTAGGCAAAGGACATGAACAGACATTTTTCAAAAGAAGACATACATGCGGCCAAGGACTATATGAAAAAAAACGCTCAACATCACTGATCGTTAGAGAAATGCAAATCAAAACCACAATGAGATACCATCTCACACCAGTAAGAATGGCTATAAATAAAAAGTCAAAAACTAACAGATGCTGGCAAAGTTGTGGAGAAAAAGGAACACTTATACACTCTTGGTGGGAGTGTAATTGGTTCAATCATTGTGGAAGACACCATGGTGAGTCCTCAAAGACCTAAAGTCAGAAATACCTTTGAACCCAGCAATTCCATTACTTGGTATGTACCCAAAGGAATGTAAATCATTCTATTATAAAGACGCATGCATGCGTATGTTCATTTTAGCACTCTTCACAATAGCAAAGACATGAAATCCACCCAAATGCCCATCAATGATAGACTGGATGAAGAAAATGTGGTACATATACACCATGGAATACTATGTGACCACCAAAAAGAACAAGATTATGTCCTTTGCAGGGACATGGATGGAGCTGGAAGCCATTATCCTAAGCAGGCTAACACGAGAACAGAAAACCACATACTGCATGTTCTCACTTACAAGTGAGAGCTAAATGATAAGAACACGTGGACACATAGAAGGGAACAATACACACTGGGGCCTATCAGAGGACGGAGGGTGGAAAGGAGGAGAGGATCAGGAAAAATAACCAACGGATACTAGGCTTAATACCTGGGTGATGAAATAATAAGTACAACAGACCTCCATAACACATGTTTACCCACGTAACAAACCTGCACATCCTGCACACGTACCCCTGAACATAAAAGTAATAAAAAAAAAAAAAAAAAAAAGTGCTGTATTCAGTCATTAATGTTCCAGCAAATTATCTACACCACTGAATTCTCAGAAACCAAAGTGACACAGTTCTTGGAACTACTGAAGCCATATAATTCAGGCATTTATGAGAGTCCATTGCATACACAGCACTTGTTAAAGGTAATATGCAAAAGCAAACAGAACAGATAAGAAAATTCAGAGATTAAAATATCCCAAAAGAGCCGGGCGCATGGCTCACCCCTGAAATCCCAGCACTTTGGGAGGCTGAGGCAGGTGGAACACCTTAGGTCAGGAGTTCGAGACCAGCCTAGCCAACATGGTGAAACCCTGTCTCTACTAAAATACAAAAATTACATGGGGGTGGTGGCGGGTGCCTGTAATCCCAGCTACTCAAGAGGCTGAGGCAGGAGCATCACTTGAACCCAGGAGGCAGAGGTTGCAGTGATCTAAAATGGTGCCACTGCTCTCCAGTCTGGGTGACAGAGTGGAGACTCTGCCTCAAAAGAAAAAAAAACAAATCCCAGAAGAAAAATTTCACTACGGCAGCTGCAAGTCTGTCTATCTCTGTAATTGCACACCTTTCAATATGAATGATTGACTGAATATGCTCTGAGTGAGTGCAAAGGATAAAACAGAAGGTTGCAACAGCAAAGCCTTATGCTTCTACTATCTGTTTCCTTTCGTAGTTCAATAAATCAGGATCTTCCATATGTCCAGAAATTCATTTTCTAGGCATATGTTTATCTTGTATGCCTTGAGATAAGACCTCTTTGGTTATAGTTTAGCATAATTGGGAATTTTAGTTTAATCATATGAGACTATAATTCTTCAATGAAGACGAACTAAAAAATTCGGTATCTTTGTTCACATTCCCCTGTATACTTTAGTCTCAACAGAGATGGGCCATTATCTCGGTCCGATTTCACTGGTAACTATGTTTCTAAATTTGGTTGCTTTCAGAGAATCTCTCCTCTCTCTCCCTATTGCAGGTCTCTAAAAATAACAGAGACTGATAAAGAGCTTTATACTTTTACCAGATGGTATCTCACTGAACCCCAAACAGACCTGTAACATTTTTAGGAGGGGTATCAACCCATTTGATAAAAGGAAGAAATTAGGAGAGGCTAATCAACTTGTTCAACACAACCAATACCAACAGACCTGGAATTTGAAACTAAGACAAAATATGTTATCACACTCTAGACTTGCCTTCTGCAGTGATGGTACTGATAAAAATAAACAAGACAAAAAAAAAAGAATAAATGTTATCACACTGGCGCTAAAAAGGACTACTTGACAATTACTGTTCTCTTGAAGGAAAAGCCCCATTATTTAGCCGGGAAACCTAACACGTTCTAGCCAGAAGAAATTCCCAGAATTTCTTCAAGGGTAAAATACCTGTATTCCTCGCCTGTCCAGGGATCTGCTCTTACAGATTAGAAGTAGTCCTATTAGCCCAGAGGCAATGTCTCTCATGATGTCCACGTCACTGTAGTATGGTCTTGTTAAGCACTGGGCATCGTTTTCTGTGGGTTCATCGAACTCTAAGATGTTCCACTTATAAGTATAGGTTTCCCCTGGTTGAACTGCTCTGATCATGGTATTGTTCCTGCCTGAAAGAAAATACATTCAAAATTGTTTTCATTTGCAAAGTTATTTCATGATAATAAATAAATAAACAAGCTTTTGTTAGAACCAATTAATATTGCAAAAGGAATTCTTTAAATATTCTACTTGGAACCCGGATAGCATGGAGCCATTAGATACTGTTCCACTAGAGGCCACTATGACACTAACAAAAGACACCATATTTTGTTACCACTAGGAGACAAACTCCTGAAGTGAGAAGGGTTTGGCTGTGATTTTTAGGATACTCCTACATGTATACTACCTGACTGCAGTAGTGACACCACTGGGCAAGGAGAATAGCAGGAAAACGTGGCGGCCTCTCAGAAGTCACTAGTTGGATTCAGTAGAAGTGAAAGATTCAAACCTGAGGTGAAAGTAGAGTTGACTTCATCTTCATAAGGTGAGAAGGTCACTCCATGAGGGTAAATGCTATAGGGGCGGCTGGCCATATTTTTGAACACGATCTACAAAGTTAAATCAAATTTATTCTAGGATTTCAGGTTGATCATGACAAATAATATAAGACACTAGCTTTGCATCTTTACCTTTTGGACGGTGTGTGTGTACACATGTGTGTAAAATTAGATCTGTTTATCTGAGCAGTAACCTCCCCGCATCACTTGGGAGGAGCATTGGAGAGACTGTTTCACTCATACGTGAAGGTGGAAAATGGAAAGAGAAGTCTGACTTTAGAGGATAAGTTAGGAGAAGTAAAGTTTTCCTCACAGTATCACTGTCTCCAAGGAAGTCCTCCTTCCCCTGCCCTTCTCTTTCCAGCTTGGGCCACATCTCATTTTGAATCTGCTTCTCATCTCTAGACCATGATCCCCTTCCCCTGCCTGGTAGATTTTTTAGGACACTGTCTTTGAAGTCATCTTCTCAGCTAGGTGCAGTGGCTCAAACCTGTAACCCCAGCACTTTGGGAGGCTGAAGCAGGTGGATCACTTGAGCTCAGGAGTTCAAGTCCAGCCTGCGCAACATGGTGAAACCTCATCTCTACAAAAAAAAATACAAAAATTAGCCAGGCGTTGGGGCGTGTGCCTATAGTCCCAGCTACTTGAGAGGCCGAGGTGGGAGAATCGCCTGAGCCCAGGAAATGGAGGTTGCAGTGAGCCGTGACCACACCACTGCACTCCAGCCTGAGTGACAGAGTAAGACCCTTAGGAGGGAAAGAAGCCACCTTCTTGAGAGGCAAAACAAATAGCCGGATCCTGAACTTTTAATAAGGTATGTCTACACTTGCTGAGAGCACATAAAAGGGATCTGAAATGGAAGAAGGGAAAGAGGCATGGAGGAAAAAACTGCTTTTGTCCTTTGGCTATTTTAAATGAACAGAATAGACCTTGTCAGGTGCATAAAGCACACAGGAGTCCTAGTTAGGCTCTTTAATCTGCAAAAGAGAACCTTAATCTTAAATCTTCTATTTGGTTGATTGTCAAAGCCTTTGGATCATCCTTTGTCTGTAGATTATCTGCATTCTAGGATTTTGTCAAAGATTGCAGCCTTTAATTCTCTGCTGTCCAATTCTTATCTATCTTGGTGAAGTGACATGACATTTAAGGAGAATTGTCTGAGGAAAACTCCATGCTCTCAATACATGCAGTTTACCTTCATTAGAGAGCTGCATACCTAGACTATATTAAAAAATGTCTGAGTAACAATTGTTTCTATTCAATTGTGTTTACTATTATGTCTTACCTATAATGAGAAACATTTTTAATGCAACTTTTAATCTATTATTTTATGCAACTTTTAATCTATTATGCTGGTTATAAGAATTTTATCAAGGATGCCATCTACTGTATCACTCAGCACTCTCTTTTGTAGAACTCATTAAAGAAATTCCTCTTAGATCTCAGTATCAGGATAAATGGTACTTTCTTTTTGTAGATGATGTAAACTTCACCCTGACATATTTCCTTTTTCACACTGACTGCCGTAAAGCTTAGGACAAAATTTGAAGACAGCCTTACAGGGTCACATGGTATCTGCTTATCTGTGGCTTTATTTTCTTTGTCCCCACATTCTATCCCAGTTACACAGACTCTTTGTTTTATGCCTTTATAATTTGAGAAACTGTCTCAGATCCTTTGTATTATTGAGTAGGCTGAAATAAATGCAAATACTAAATAAAAACTAAAAGTTGCATTTGAATTTAAAATTATATGAGCACTTTTTTGTTTTAAAATTAAAAAAGCAACCAGGTACTCCATAATATTTTACTATTTAATTTCTCCCATGATTCTGCATTTGTGTTACTTACTTTGAGTGTGTCTCTGACCTGGGCTCTGATAATAGGACCCAAAATCCCATCTTCTTTCATATTGGGATTCACTGTACGTTTGGTGAAGGACTCATCTTCGTACTGTGTGTACATAACTTTCTTATAAAGTTTTCCAATTTGGTTTGAGAAATTATCCAAATGCTGAGACCTGTATTTTCTTAAAGCGAAATAAAAATTTTAAAAAAATTAAACCACTTTCTCAAATAGAGATCTCGGTAGGATGGAGAAACCCTTGTGCTTAGATGTTCTGCTCTTACATTAGCTAAAATGCTAGTTCTCTAAAAATTTCTTAGTGTAGTTTGCAAAGTCCTGATGTTTTCTGTCTAGTTGGAAAACTGGAAACTTCTGAGTTGTCTCCTGCATCACTGATAAAAGTCATAGGTAACTGGTTAGAAGCAGCTACTTAGAGCTTCCTGTCATTCTCATCACTACAGCAGACCTTTGATATCTCTGGGAAAAGGCCTATACTGGCTGGAAAAAATACTAGGAATTTTTCTAAAGTCTCTCCTATCACTTATTCTATGATAGCCTTTTTGGTTTTAAAGGTATTTCTTAAACCCTAAAAGCACCTTCCCACCCCAAGAAACATTTACTAGCATTGTTAATCATAGTTTTGTGCTATTGGGCTATCTCTTCCACCATCTAGCCAATCCTTAGAGATGACTGAAAAGCAACCTCCTTCACCCATTTTTTTGTAGCTACTGGGATAAATACTTTGGGAGCAGCAACATGAACCACTTTTCCCCTGCCATCTTTATTGCCTTAGTTTGCAAAAGCAACTACATGCAGCCAAACAGCATATTTTAAAAAGCTCAACATCAGTGATCATTAGAGAAATGCAAATCAAAACCACAATGCGGCCAGGCACGGTGGCTCACGCCTTAATCCCAGCACTTTGGGAGGCCAAGGCAGGCGGATCACGAGGTCAGGAGATCGAGACCATCCTGCCTAACATGGTGAAACCCCCTCTCTACTAAAAATACAAAAAATTAGCCGGGCCTGGTGGCGGGCACCTGTAGTCCCAGCTACTCGGGAGGGTGAGGCAGGAGAATGGTGTGAACCTGGGAAGTGGAGTCTGCAGTGAGCCGAGATGGCGCCACTGCACTCCAGCCTGGGCGACAGTGCAAGACTCCGTCTCAAACAAAACAAACAAACGGGGCCGGGCGCGGTGGCTCAAGCCTGAAATCCCAGCACTTTGAGAGGCTGAGACGGGTGGATCACAAGGTCAGGAGATCGAGACCATCCTGGCTAACACGGTGAAACCCCGTTTCTACTAAAAAATATAAAAAACTAGGCGGGCCAGGTGGCGGGCGCCTGTAGTCCCAGCTAAAGTAGTCCCAGCTACTCGGGAGGCTGAGGCAGGAGAATGGTGGGAACCCGGGAGGCAGAGCTTGCAGTGAACTGAGATCCGGCCACTGCACTCCAGCCTGAGCGACAGAGCGAGACTCGGTCTCAAAAAAAAAAAAAAAAGCACAAAACACAATGAGATGCCATCTTATGCCAGTCAGAATGGCGATGGTTGAAAAGTCAAGAAACAACAGATACTGGCAAGGTTATGGAGAAAAAGGAACACTTATACACTCTTGGTGGAATGTAAATTAATCCAACCATTGTGGAAGACAGTATGGCAGTTCCTCAAAGACCTAAAGTCAGAAATATCATTTAACCCAGCAATCCTTTAAGATAGAGTGTCATTTTATGAATTTATTTTGCCCAGTGGAAAGCACTGACTGTTGCCAAACACTCCTGGATTCCTATCTCAGTTCTGTCACCAATTCTATAATCTTGGCCAAATTTTTGTTGTTGTTGTTCTTTTTCCTAGTTTAATTCTTTTTAATAGAAAACACATTCACATAATTTTTATTACAGTGAAAACTCTCACTTTTCTCTGATAACCCTCAATGGACCTCCCTACCCTCCCTGAATTTTCTAGGTAGCCATATATTAATTTCATGTGTATAATTCCAGAATACCTTTATGTACACATATGCAAATATGTCTTACAAATAAGAAAATATAAATATCCTTATCCCTTTCACTCCTTTAACAAAAGGCAGATATATATACACGCTATACTACATCCTGGCTTTGTAATTTAATAACTTAGCTTGGAAAACTTTTTGTGTTAGTACATAGAGAATGTTTGCATCCTGTTTTTTGATGCTTAGTATTCCATTGTGTGAATGTATCATAATTTATTAAACTAGTTTCCTACTGATGGACATTTTGAGTTGTTTCCAATCTTACTACTACTAACATTGCAACAGTGAATATGTTGTACATACATCATTTCACCTGTGAACAAGTATATCTGTATAGTTAGATTTCCAGAGTGAGACAGCTGAGTCAAAGGGTATATGCATTTAGAATTTTGATACATATTGCCAAGTTATTCTTCAGAATCCCTTTACCAATTTAATCTTCCACCAGCAATATATGATAGTTCTTATTTCTCACAGCCTTGTCAACAGATGATGTCATCTGGACTTGTGAATCTGATAGATAAAAGTCGTATTCCCATGAAGTTTAATTTGCATTTCTCTTATTATGAGTGAATTTGAATACCTTTTCAAGGGTTTAAGCACTATTTGAATGTCCAAATCTCTTAATCTCTCTGACCCATTTCGTCATCTATAAAAAGAAATAAGAGCAGTGTCTAGTTTGTAGAGTTGAAGTGAAGCTCTCAGAAGGGGATAATACAGTACTTGGCAAATGGCGAGCACTCAGCAAGAGGTGGCTGCTGTTGTTATTAGGCTGAATTTCTTTGGTGATTTGGGAGTAACTGAAGATTAATCTTTACAAAAAGACTTGAATAGAAACCAATACATGTGCCCCCTTGAGAGCTGTCAACTTACAACATTTCATTCCCCAAACATCTAGGACCCTATGGAATGTATCTTGAACCTTTGCCCAATAGTATGAACCCCAACAACTCACTTGTCCATATTCACTGGTATTACAGGTGCATAGTCCCAAATGACTTCCTCTGCAGCAATGAAGTATTCCCACCTTTTCATGTGCCGCCTCTGCTCACGAGTTATTTTCTTAGGATTCCTGGTTTTCTTTGGGCAGTTTTTAATGTCAATGTAAGCCTGCATCCCAGCTGAGTTAGGGCAGAAAGAGAACGATATAACTCGAAGGAAGAAATTATGGTTGATGGAAATACATATCCTTTAAATCAACTTGTGTAAGGTTTATATTAATATAATAACAGTGAACGTAATGCTCAGGCAACTTTTGAACATTTTAGTTTGGAACTCTTTCAGTGGCATCCAGAAAAGGCAAGACTTTCAAAAGGGGGAAAAGGAGGAGGGGTTAGGGAAAAAACATGGAAAGGTTCCCTTGATTTCTTCTCGAGCTGGCAAATTTCTTATAATTTTTAACTTCTTAAAATCCTATGAATTATGTGTTGTTAAATTCTTATTTTTTCTGTCACCTGTCCCTTAATCTGTAAAATGAAGACAGCACCAGTACTTAATAAAATGGTTGTTAAAAATTAAATATTAATAACAATACATAACGCACTTATCCTCAACAAAGAAACAAAAGTTTCATTGTTATTTTAATAATATTGGGAACTCTATCTTCCACAGATATCGTGATGGTTTTATTACTTTGGACATAATTTTGACTACTGCGTGTGAAAAGAAACAGAAATGATCTCATGAAGTATCTCTTCCTTATGTATGTTTCTTACACTTATTTTGGTAACAAAATGATTTCCTATAGTGGTATCATCTCCTTAGATTTTAGTCTCTGTTTATATGAACCTTCCTCTCAACAGTTTTAAAGCAAAAATGTGTAGTAGAACAATCCGTTATTTTGTTTACACGATACCACATAACCTGGGTTGATTTATTTTCCCACTTGAATTCACCAGTGTTCTTTGGAGCTTACCCCTCAGCTGTTTATATGCCGTGCATGATCCATTCAACACACATTCATTGAGTTCCTCTCCATGCTAGACTTTGTGTTCATCCCACTGTAAAGGTTAATGTTTTCATGCTAACCTTTTACACTTTCTACAACTTAGTGCTTCTGTAAATTTGCAGTTTATCTTGTGCTAGCATCTAGGTCTTTTTCTCTGGCTGCATATGAAGTAACCCCAAGAAAGAATATCTTTATGTATGCTTTTGTTTCCTTCCTCTTTTCTTCTTTCGAGGAAGTTAGAGACCTCTTCAGCTTTTGCTTAATTAAAAAAACAAAAACAAAACAAAAAACAAAACTTTGTCAATTCCTTCACTTTCTCCATCCGGAAACAGCGAGTTATAAATCTAAGAGCAAAGTATCTAAATTTGGTTGTTAGGAACCAAAGCAAGTTTTTCTGGGGTGCAGGTGGCTTGAAAGGGCAAGGGAGAAAGAGGGAGTTAGTGCTGGGAAGAAAGCGTTCTGCATTCAGAAGCAAGACTGTCAGGAGAGTTTCTTGCCTTGCAAATGTTTTGGGGTGAGAGAAGATATGATCCACTTTCCCTCTGGGCCCACGGTCATATTTGCAGTAGTGGATGTAGCACTGACAAGGGTGATGGCTGAGACCTTATGATGGTTCTGCTCCAGGACCTGGCCGTTGAAATGAATGGAGAACAATTCTGGCCCCGAGCTCATTCCCAGCAGATGCCAGCTGATGTGGTCATGGGCACAAACTGTTATATCTGAGAGAGAGGGAGAGCATTCAGTCAAGTATTCTGTGATCAAACATTCACTCATCAAATGTATTGAGCACCTGCTGTGTGTCAGGCATTGAATAAAGCTTCAAGGGAACAGACACTCCAGTTGTAGTTTGTGCCCTGCAAAAGCAGACATCTGAGTGACCAGCAAACAAGCAGTCACAACTCATTGTGATAAATGGCATTATATAAGTAACAACAGAGCCTAGAGATGGCAAATGTTAACTTAGAAACACAGGGATTGCTAAAGGATTAGGCCAAGAAGGTAACTGACTATCCTGGTCTGAGGGATTTCCCAAGGTTTAGGACTTTCACTATTAGAACTGGTAAAAAGTCCATGGCAAAATGGAATGTTTGGTCACCCCAATCTGATCTCGGCTGGAGGGAGTCAAATCACCAGAACCTCCAATAGGGCTGAGTTCAAGCACTTAATCCTCTCAGCTCTCTAGCTCTAGTGGTCAAAGCTCTGCCTCAGGGAAGAAGACGTGAAGATGATGTGAGGATTTTCCATTGTTATTTTTACTCACTTTTTGATTGTTTTAATGACAAGTCAACAAAATCACTTTGTGGATTGCACACTCTCCTTAAAATGCAGTGTAAAAGTCTTCATTATGTTGGGCCAATGGGAGCTTTTCATGGAAGGAGTAATGATAACTGAATATAAAAACTTAGTTTTGCTCCTTCTTTGCTCCTACAGTCACTGGGGAAATGCTCATTTGCTCTGTGGGGAGACTCCATCCTTGGCTTTTAGGTTTCTGTTTTACATCTCAGATACATAATCACTAGATACTAGAAATCGGGGCTGAGAATCAGTTCCTTACCCACACAAAGGCTTGTCTTTTTTAGGAGACCATTGCAACAAAACTGGGATTCCTTGCATCACTAGGAGGCTTTGGCAGAAGCATTTATCCACGCCAAATAAATGCTCATATTGAGTTCAGCAATTAACATATCTGTGTTAGCATTTATCATATGTATTCAATTTATTCTGCTTTATAAGGCAGAGGGTTTTACAAATGTTTACTATTCTTAGTTTCTACTGATGGTCTTTCCCTACCCTTTCCCATTTACCCCCAATTATTCTTTTGGGAACTATAAATTCATAAACTCTAAGCTCAGATCAATTTATTTTTATTTTTGTGCATATGGTTTTGCTTTTTTTGGCATCCATATACTTACACAGATTGTTCACTCTGCCAGTAAATAAATATTAGGATAAATGGTTAGTCCACTTTTGTAAGTAAGCATATTGAGACAGCTAATTATCCAGGGCCACAGAAGGTAGAGAAGCTAGTGAGGTCTGAACTCAGATTATCTAAGGTCGGGGTCAATTAACTAAGCTCCAGTTTTTACAAGCTCCTAGTATTGGAACTCAGGATCAACACTGAGAGTCATATGAGTATATTTTCAGAAAACCAAGTGGAAAATGTAGTCAAATGAAATAGAATACAATTTAAAAACACTACCCAGATCTCAACTCTTAACAATATTTGTGTTTTAGTAAGTGAAGCCATTTGTAATTTTCAGATGGCATTACAGAATAACCTCTAAGAAGTTTAGTGTTTTGAAATATGATTTATTTAGTAAAGCAACATTTTAATTTTTTAATGTTTTTCCCTCAGGCTAGTATCATATACCCTGGATCTTTAGTTGTAGGTCAGTTCTACCAGAGAAAAATAGAAGAGATGTGGTCTAAGTGGGAGTCAATTATTTTTTCTCTTAATGATTGCTATGATTTTGCCTTCTCATAAGAGCCCAAATGCAAATGTAAAGAGAAAATATTCTAGACACCATTGAATATTACTCTTCTGTCGCCTTTTGAAATGCTGGTCTTTTGTGTGTGTGTGTGTTAGGGATTACTCCTAATCTGTTCATCTTTACTGCAATCTTCCTGCTGACTTTTCCTGCTAGGGCTTGTCTTTCAAGGCATGGTCATCATATAGCAGGAACTGCAGAACTCGGGGAGGGAGACTGAGCTGATACCCTGAAGGTCTTTCTCAAAGTGCAGGCCAAGGTGAAACCTACTCAGGTCACTATACCTAACAAGGCTGCACGTTTCTTCTCTAGCTTCTAATTTGTCTCTTCTATTTCCTGTTTTTAAAAGATAGATGAGAAAATATTTCCCTCTCGATAGGGAGTTGCAAAACAGTGAGTATGGTCAACTTCTCTAGTGCTTTGAAGAAAACAACAGGACTGAAAAATTACTAATGATCTTACTGTTGTTCAATGGTGCACAGCCCCCGTGTTACCTGGCATTGTCCCATTCACGTATCCATTGACTGTGTACATTAGGGATGATGACTGGCTCCAGCTCTTGCTTTCATCAAACACAGCAAACAGTAGCACGATTTGCTTGTCGAACGTCTTCTGTTTCCCATCCTCAGTTAGGATCCCTGTGAAAGGAAAGACATGTTTTCAGTAGCACTGCAGACAGAACATTCTCATTAGCTTTCCTAGATAGCAAAGAGTTTAGGGCAAGCGATCAACCATAATGACAGCAACTTGAAGAAATTCTTATTTTTTAAAATAGCATATTAAGTAATAACGGTTCTAGGGTTATTAAAAATCTGGTGCCACACTGTCTTCTTTGACACCTTGTTGCTTTGGGGAACAGGATTTATTTCATCCAGCTTGGGAAGAAAACATTTGGTGACTCTCAAGACTCTGTACAAGTATCCATTTCCTCCAGTCTCAACAGAACAGTATATAGATACGTTAGCTCAGTTGGTAAAAGCATCATGCCCCAAGTTTAATGCTGTCATCTTATTTGCATATGAAAGGGGGCATTCAATAACTGGTTGGAAGTATCAGCATTAATCCATTCTCACTGTGAGAAAAACATGCTGCTGATGGTAAAATGAAAGAAGAGTCTTTCGTAAGTCTTAAGGTTTTTTTCAGTACCATCACTTCTATATACCAGGAAATGAAAGAAAAGTATTTGTATAATGAGTAAATACATTGGGAAGGTATGTAGGTATGGTCTGAGTGTATGTGTAGGCAGATGGTGAGTCCATCACGTTGTTTCCCGTGCTGTGGCTCGCTGTGGTTGTTTGCTTGTTTTAATGAAAGATGGGCTGGATTCTCATGGGATAAAATGAAAATCCAATCTTGCTCCTAAGAAGCCCAGCCAATAAAAGTTATTCTAGTCACTTGAGTGTGTTTGAAACCTACCACTCAAAGTGTTCAACTTGTTTGTAAGAAAGGAAGCTGGCATCGAATATGTTTATAGAACAAATTACCAGCCCAAACTTCAGATATGTCAAATATGTTAGCCAATATTCTTTCCAAGAGCTCTTTCAGCGGCGTATAGGCTGCTGTATACTTTCTAAAAGACTTTGGCCTTGAGGTAAATGTTACAGATCATACAAGCATGACATCAGAACACACTCTCAAACATGAATTTGCTTGGGAGAATCTTAAGGACTGAGATGAAGGAGGAATGAGAAGAAACAGAAGTGGATCCACACCCTGAAATAGCAGGTATTTTTTTCTCTTGTCAAACAATGATCCATGCCCTCTTCCTCTGCTTGATGTACAAGAAGTTACCGAGATGTTCCCAAGCTTTGTCCGGTGACAGAACTCCTGACCATTCCAACATTTTGTTGTTGAAACTTTTGGTGGGAGTGCTCTTACCTTTTTTACAGATAAGCAAGGGCCCAATCAGCCCAGAGTTGAAGTCCTCAATCAGATTTTCATGGGAGTAATAGATGTGTGTGAGGCATGGAGGGTCATCATCGGTGGGCCCACTGTCCTCACTGATACTCCATTCATAGGTGTATTCTCGGCCTGGAGCCACAGCATCATCCATCTTCTCCACAGGGAATGTGTGGTCAAGGTAAGAAGCACCTGGAGGAGTAAGAGCCATCAAGACATGTGGGCAGTTTCTGAGGATTGCATTTTCACCACTCTCAAATCTGGGATAGCTAAGACGAGCACTCTGGAGATGCATATGTCCTTCAATAGTGAACTTTTATTATTTGGAAAGATTCACGTATGCCCATTTCTATGCTCGTGTAGTTACAAAGGCTTTGCTACCATGGTGACCTTAAGAAAAACAAATGTTATTTGTAAATTAAAGTTAAGCAAGTTAATTTTCCAGGGTACCTGAACAATTATTATTTAAATATTATCAGAGAATTGAATCATCTTTGATCAGTAAAACATCTCAGAATATAAGAATGGGTGATATCTTCTTTGTGGTGTTTAACAAGACATACATAGCCTATTAACATGAGATGGGAGGATAGTCAGAGTTGTTTATATGTTGTTTTGTTTTGTTATTTCACATCTTCTTTCCAACTGCTGTGACCCTCTGCTCTGTTTTATCTCTTTATTTCATCTTAGCTATCTGATTATCTCAATTTTTTCCCCCAGAACCACAGCATCTAACTCCCATATGCAGGCTGGTTGTTTGTATGAATATGAAATGTGTCCATCCTCTGAAACTTACAAGTCTTACTTTGTACTTCGTGCTCCCAAAGACCCATCATTAACACCTCCATGTATACTGGACTTTCCCTACTGATAGGAGAGGGAGAGGATGAAGAAATTGGTCTTCCTTACTGAAGAGAGGGAACTGAGATGCTCAATATTAAAGGAAGTGTAGAGGGTTGGGTGAGGTTTTCAATAATAAAATGGAGCAAATGAAGTCAGGAAGGGGAGAGGTGAGTGCCACAGATCACCAAGTGGAATGGACAGTTTCCTCTGCCTGAGGAATTCCTCATTTAATTAGGTGAAAGACTCCCTATCATCAGCTGGTGCCAGAATTTCTCTTTGGGATACAGTTATTTTTGTTTGGTACAATAACTTGATAAATTCTTTAAGGGAAGAAGGTGAGAACTTCAGTGTGGATATAGGCAGACAACAAGGATCTGGGAAAAAAACAAAAACAAAAAACGCCTGAAATGTTTTACATGATGGCGTAAAAGGCCAATAAAAACTACTCTTACTGAAGCAACTATAATTTTTAAAAACTGAAATGATTAATCCTTTCTCTCGCCTTCCCTCCCCTTCCTTTCTCTTCCCTTTCTTTTCTTTTTACTTTCCTAGTTTCTTTTCTTTTCTCCTTTCTTCCTTTCTTTGTCTTCTTCCTTCCCTCTTCCCCACCCTCCTTCCCTCTTTTCTTCCTTTCATTATCTTTATTGAGGTATAATTTGCATATAATAACATTTACCAGTTTTAAGTATAGTATTTGCTGAACTTTGATAAAAAAAATTACACAGTCTTATAGCTATAGTCCCAATCAAGATAGAGAAGAGTTCCATCATTCCAAAACATTTCCTGATGCCATTTGTAGCCAATGCCCTCCAGGCCTAGACAACCACTAATCTGCTTTATTTCACTATGATTTGGCTTTTCTGTAATGTCATATCAATGGAATCATCATTATATACCCTTTTGTGTTGGATTAGTGTTAACTGGTATGGTATATAATTTTCTATCCTTTATTTTTTACCTATCTTTGTCTCTCTCATTTAAAGTGGATTTCTTAAATTCTGCATACTGTTTAGCATTCCTTTTTAATTTAATCTTGTTTGTTTCTTACTTGTAGTGTTCTTTCCATTTGCTTTTAATACAATTGACAATATGGTTGGATTTAATTTATTTTCTATTTGTCTACCTGGTCTTTATTCCTTTTCCCCTTCCTTTCTATTTTCTTTTGGATTGAGTATATTTAATGATGTTTAATCTCCATTGTTGACTTATTAGCTTTGTTTTCTTAGTGCTGCCCTTCAGTTTACAATATATAATACATTTTTAACTTGTTACAGACTTCCTTCAAATAATATACTATTTCACTTGTAAGAACCTTGCAATACTATATTTCCATTTCTTCCCTCCCATCCTTTGTGCTATTGTCATACATTTTATTTATATATACATAATATGCCCCACAATTAATTGTTACTATTTTTGCTTTAACATTTAGATAATCAATTGTCTTTTTAATAGATTAAAATGAGGAAAAAATTTCTCTATATTTATCAACTTCTGGAACTTTTCATTCCTTCTTATGAATCTAAATGTCTCTCTGATATAATATTTCTTCTATCTGAAGGAGTTCCTTTAGCATTTTTTTTCTGCACTACTAGTGAGAAATTATTTCTGCATTTGTATGTGTAAAGCACTCTTTATTTTGTTTTCATGTTAAAAAGGTTTTTTTGCATGGTATAGAATACTAAGTAGACAGATTCCCCTATCCTCCACCCTCCCAACACTTTAAAGATGTCCCTAATAGTCTTCTGGTTTGCATAGTTCCTAATGATAAGTCTGCTGTCATTTCTTCATTTTGTTCCCCTGTATATGATCTGTCTTTTTATCTCTCACTGCTTCCAATATTTTGTCTTTATCACTGGTTTCCAGTAACTTGATTGTGATGTGGCTTGATGTGGTTTTCTTCGAGTTCCTTCTTAGTTTTGTCAAACCTCTTGAATCTGTTGGTTTGTAGTTTTCATTACATTTGGGCAGTTTTTAGTCATTATTACTTCAAATACTTTTTCTGTTCCTGCTACTTCTGGGATCCAATTACACATATGTTAGATCACTTGATATGGTCCCACAGTTCACTGATGCTCTGTTCACTTTCTTCAGCCTTTTTACTCTCCGTATTTCATTTTGCACAGTTTCTATTGCGATGTATTAATATTTTCTACCATTTCCTTTCACAGTGTCTAATGTGCTATTAATTTCATACAGTGTTTGTTGTATTAGTGTTGCCCTTCAGTTTACAATATATAATTTTTTTATCCTTTATTTTTTACCTTTATTTTCTATCCTTTATTGTTTTACTTTTCATGTCAGCAATTGTATTCATCTACAGAAGTTCTGTGTATGCATATTTATATTCTCTATCTCTTCATCATGCTCATGCTTTTCTCTGTTTTCTGAAACATATTGGGAAGATTTATGATGGCTGTCCTACTGTCTCTGCCTGCTGCTTCTATTTTCTCTTTCACTTCTAAATCTGTTTTTTCTTGGTTATGAGTCATCTCTTTCTGCTTCTTCTAATGCTTGTTTATTTTTATTAACATTGTGAATTTACATTGTTGTTTGTTGCATTCTTGTTAACTAGTATTGAGTTTTATTCACAGTTAAAATACTTGAAATCAACTTGATTCTTTCAAATCTTATTTTTTATTCCGTTGCCTCCTCAGCAGCCTGTAGTCTAATTTTATCCACCTACTGTTTCTAAATCCTTCTGAGAATTCTATCCAATGCTCATTTATTAGGAAGTCTTTCTGTGTTTGATAGTAGGAACATAAATGATTACTGGCCCTGCGTAAGGTCCAGGGACTGTTCCAACTGTTCCTTTCAAATGACATTTTTCTTACCCTCAGTACTTTCCTCACATGTATGTGCAGATCAGTATTCAACTTGACAAAACCTCTCTGTAGATTCTCAAGAGCTCTTTCTCTGTGATTATACTGTCCTCTCCAGGACTCTGCCCTACAAATCACAAATTCAGCCACTTAGGCTTCTCTGAAGTCCAAACTCTGTTTCCTCACCCATAGAGACTCTATCTGGGTTCTCCCTGCTTGTGCTGTTCCCTGGAAACTCTCTTCAGGCAGTAAGCTTAGGCACTCATAGGACACACCTGGTTTGTTATTCTTCTTTCACTGTCTTGAGTTGTCTGTCATTTGATGTCTGAAAACTTCTGTTTTATATGTTTTGTCTGCCTGTCTAGTTGTTAAGAAAAAAGGTAAATCTGGTTCCTTATGTTCAGAAGCCAAAGTCTGAGATGCTAAATTTCCATATAAAATATTTTTTACATTTCAGCAATGTCAGCTTCCCTTCTTTAATTGTACCTTTCCCCATCCCAACTGTGGAAAATCTATTCCACTCAAAACACTTTGCATGAGTTTTCATGGCATCAGCATATGTTTGGATTCTCCAGGTGGGAGTGGAAAATAAGGCACATCCATTCATTAGCAATGAAGGACTCAGGTACTACAGTGATGTGCAATGTACCTCATGAGGTTCTGAGCATGGAAACCATAAATTGAGTAGGTATATCTAGATTTACTTCTTGCATAAAGTCTTTAATGTGGACCACAAGTCCATGTATGATTTACCTCTACTTCTCTCTTCAGTCTTATCATATGTCTTTTCCCTTGTTAACTGTGGGCTCCTTGTCCCCTGGGTCCCCTGTCAGTTCCCCAGACATCCAACTTCTATCCTACCTCAGGGTCTTTGCAGATGCCATTCCCTCTGCCTAGAATGCTCTTCCTCCCTTCTTCCTTTTGATAAATATGTGTTCATCCTTCAGACGTCACCTTGAATATCAGTTCACTTCTACCTTTATCTCCAATTCTGATACACATTATTTTCCTTCTACAGCACTCATCACAATTTGTAATTAAATGCCTGTGAGATTACATGACTAATTCCATTTTCTTCTACTAGATCATAAGTATTTGTGTCCTGCACATTTTGGTGACTCAAGTGTGAACTCCTCAAGGAAAAGTGCTGGATTGTATTTATCTTAGTGTCTCTGGTGCCTTCCATAGGTACCTGGAGGAGCATGGAACATGAACATGAAGAAGATGCTCAGTGAATATTTATTAAACTCCTAAAATGTAAGGTCCTATGAGCTAGAGCCTAGGTCAACAAGTCAAAGCTCATGGCTGTGTGTTGTTAGGATTGCATAATGTTAAAATAGGTTAAATGCCAACATTAAAAATCTGGAGTAACTATATAAGAATCTGGTTTCTCTTTAAAAAACAAAAACCTGGAGATCTGATTAACAACAGGACCAAACTCCTGCACAGAATTTGACTGGACCTGGATCTTAGCTGCCCTCTTCTGATTTCTGATTATCAGTCCTTACTGGACCAATTTTGTTCACT